TCATCTATCTCAGCAAGAAAACAAATGGTTGTATTTCCCAAAATGTCGATCTTTTCCTTTAAAAGCATTTTGCAGCTCTCTTCTGCACACTCGTCACAGTTAACTCAGATAACTCAGTTTTGCCAAAGACTGGCTGTTTTGTACTCCAAAACTGTGCAAGTGAAGGAATTCAGCATTTCTGCTTTACCCATCAGTCTTCTATTAACACGGGGGGGGGGGACGACAAGCGATGCTGAGAACGTGCCTGCACTTGGATCAATCAATCAGTCCAATGACACCTAAAGATGGATCATGATTTATTATGTGACTCCTTCCATGATTTGTTTTTCCTTCCTAATCATCTTCTCTAACTCTGTCATGTCTGAAATATACTCCCAGGTTGACCCTTTTAACCTTTGACCTTCTGATGTCAACAGGAAAGCCCAGACCTCATCCAACTAGTATGCTAGTCTTCGACTTACTGGTAGTAGTCCAGTAGGGCAATGAAGACATTTTCAGAGCTGCAGTTTTGAGGGCCAACACTCAAGTGTCAAAGAGACTTGACTGCTTTGGCGGCTTTTCTCTGAGTGTAGGGAGGCCATTATTTGGGAGATACAGGACTGGAGGGCCTGGTCTGGGCTGCTGTTGCAGTAGCTACAGGGTGTTTGGGCTGAAATAACCAACAAACCAACCAAACCGATGCATGTGTCCTGATGTAAAAATCAAGTAGATGAACCAGTGATGGATAGAGGCTGCCTGCTGCATTGATCTGTCTTTGTCTCTGATCTCAGTGTTTGTAGGTTGGATTTACTGAAGGTCATGGTCTTAATGTTCATGTGTGTTGCTTGACTGCCTTTGAGTTTGTTTGATCAACGTGGATGCATCTGATTCTGTCTCATGTTATCATGATTGATTTGACTTATTACTTAACTAGAATATAGATTTTAGAGACAATGTGTGTGAGGTGTCAAAATTACTGCCGTCAGCTGTGATGTTTGTTGTGGAAGTGCACTTGTGTATGCTATTATACTAATAGAGGACAACGCTGTGAGTGTGTATTTACCTATAACCCACTTGGTTTTCACCGTGTCCTGCTGTAGACTCAGTGGTGGTGCTGGAGGAGGGGTCTGGGGTTTCCACAGCACACACCCCATCTGATTGGCTGGAGAGTGAAGAGTTTGAGCCAATATCCTCGGATCCCATCTTCATGTCTGCGGACAAGTTCCCAAAGACTCCGCCGCCTGGAATGCTCAGCAGGGTGGGTAGTTGATGCACTTTATTTTTATTCTGGTCTACAGCAAGTAAACAAATACCAAGTGGTAAACAATCCAGGCTTATAAATATTAACTATTGGTTTGATTATCAGCTCATAAGAGATTCAGTGTTGCCTGCACAGATTTTAAGTGGGTTTCCCCGCCCATGCTCCTGCATAATGAGCAGCATGCACACGCGCACACACACACACACACACACACGCACACGCACACGCACACGCACACACACACACACACACACACACACACACACACACACACACACACACACACACACTAGTGCTTTTATTCTGCACGTAAAGAACCATACTGTGATTGTCTGTGATTCTCTTTAGCAATTTGTTAATCTGCTAAAACATGCTAAATCCACCAGTATGATCCTTTTTAAAGGCTTCCCACTGCTGTTATTTTTAAAACACCTCTGATCTTTCTCTTCCAGTCCTCCTCCACCTCCAGTCAAGATGATGAAAAGTCGACACTGGAGGAAGTGAGCGAGGGAGCGATTCCCATTGATCAGCCCACCCTGGGACCCTCTACCCCAGGCAGCCAGGGGCCCGAGCTTCCCTTCCAGACCCACACTCAATCCGGACTGAACAAGTCCAGCTCCTCCCCAGAGCTACAAAACTTACCCGAAGCCTTCTCTGCTGCCATGAAATCAGAAACTGTGCCAGGAGACACGTCGTGGCCCAGAGCACCTGTGGAGGGCAAACCTCAGCCCCAGCAGCCTCATTTTGAAAAAGAAAAGGTGGAAGGGACTACAGGAGGGGAGGTTAATGGTCTGGGAGGTCAGAGTCAAGGGGGTGAAAACATAGTGTCATCTCAAAGTGGAGGAGCAAGGATGAGGTTGGAGTTTCCAGCAGCACCGGCGCAACCTGGACCCATCTCCCCCAGCGGAGGCCACCGACCCCGGGGTCACACCATCTCAGTATCGGCCCCCTCCTCCAGGAGGGAGAGGAGGACAGAGAGGGACTCTTACCACAGTCGACCCGGACCTAGTAACACAGAGAAGATCGCTGGTCTGAGCCCCAGGTAGTCTGAGATTTACACAGAAAAACTACTGCAGCCTTGGTCGCCTGTTTCTGCCAAATAAGTGACGCAATGTTTCAACCCAAGTCTGTAAACTAATCTCTGCTCCACTCCTTTGATCCAAGTGGCAGCCAGCCAGTGAAGAACATTTTAATTGCAACCCAGTTTTAAATAGAAAGATTGTTTGAGATGATGAAAAATCTGAAATTACAGGTTTGAATCTTTGTGTGATGGCAATAAATAATGAAAAGAGGAAATAATGAAAACCCTGAATGGAATATAGCCTATACATAGCAGTATATGTGCTATTTCTTTAATTGTATTTTCATACCATGTAGATATTTATGAATGCAGTGCCTATGAAGCACATGTTTTAAATGCCATATATAAAGAAAGGCAGACATAATGTGGACTATAAGCTTTTTTTTTTTATTTGTATGCGCAACACCTATTTTTTCACACTACACTATACTTCTTTTTGTCTCCTCTAGCTTTGTCTTCCTACAGCTGTACCACTCTCCTTTCTTTGGGAATGAGGCCAACAAGCCACTGCTGCTGCCCAAAACTCAGGTTAGTTGACCTCTCTGACTGACCTGGAATCTGCTCCACTGTGTTTTATACTTGTTGTATACTTTGTTTACAATGTTGGTTCTCTGTGGTAGGTTATTGACCGCGCTGTGAAAGTTCTGGACCAGATGCCTCCATATGACACCCATAAGATCGGAGTGGTGTTTGTAGGGGCTGGTCAGGTGAGAACTCAAGAACACTCATCGCTGTCTTATCACTTAATAATTCCTATACTGTCTGACTTTGCGCCTTCATCCTCTCCACTCTCTTCAGGTTAACAATGAGGTTGCCATCCTGTCAAACGAGTATGGTTCAAACCGCTACGCTGCCTTCCTAACGGGCCTGGGAAAATTAATCCATCTGAAAGACTGCGACCCAGACCAGATCTTCCTCGGAGGGCTCGACCAGTATGGAGATGACGGAGAGTTCACCTACTGCTGGCATGACGACATCATGCAGGGTGAGCATGTGTGTGTGTGTGTGTGTGTGTGTGTGTGACAGGGAAAAGATGGTAATTTAGTACTTATTTCTTTTCCACAACCAGTCTGCTCATTATTAATGAAATCACGTCTGTGCAGCTATCTTCCACATAGCCACACTGATGCCAAACAGGGAGAGCGACAAGGGCTGCTGCAACAAAAAGCGTCACATTGGCAATGATTTCGTTATGGTGGTGTACAACGACTCTGGAGAGGAGTACAAACTGGGCACAATTAAGGTACACACACACACACACACACACACACACACACACACACACACACACAAAAAAAAGTCTCTGAAATCTGCAGTATGTATTTTGTACTTCAGCTCCAACCCTGTCTGTTTTCCTCCCGTTAGGGTCAGTTTAACTTCGTAGAAGTTATTATAAAACCACTGGATTATGAATGTAACCTGGTGACGCTCCAGTGCCGCAAAGGTGAGCTGATATCTGCATTTTCCCCAGTCTCATCTCAGCTCTGTGTTTTTGTTTTACTTTTATTCCTTCTCTTGCTCTCTCTTTCAGATCTAGAGGGGTTAGTAGACACAACAGTGGCAAAAATCGTTTCAGACCGCAATCTTCCACTGTTAGTCAGACAGATGGCTCTACATGCAAATGTAAGTCTTCCCCTTATCTCTCCCTTTCACACCTTGTCACAAATACACACACACATAATGTACTTCACTCCTCTTTGTCTACCCGCAGATGGCCTCTTTGGTGCATCAGTACAGAGCCAACCCCTCTGATGCTTATGCCTCGAAGTGGCTTGCCAGATTACGACACATCAAGAGGATCAGGACCAGGGTAAGAAAGAACACAAAGAAAGAAAATTGGTTCTCCCTCCTCACTGTCACTACTTTTACTTCATACTTTTCAATTTCCTTTCATAAATTTCCATGTTGCCTTCTCTGCTCTGGCTCAGGCCCAGGAAGACATTCAGTCTCGCTCCACCCCTGGGATCTCTCTCACCCAAGGACACACTCAGCAGAACAAGTCGTTTCAGCAGAGCACTCAAGCAAACCCAGAAACCTCCGGGCAGAGAAAAAGACTTGTCTCAACAGTGGACGATTTCACTGATTTTGTTTGATTACTTGTCCTGGCAGACATACACATACACCCATACATGCACGCACGCGCGCACACACACACACACACACACACGCACACGCACACGCACACACACAACCACAGACATGCACACACCTGCCAGAGGTGAGTTTACTTTCACCTCTCGGCGTGGGAGAATTCAGGATGACACACTGATTTTGACTTAAACCAATCGGGACTTTGTATTGGAAAACCTATGCGCTTCATGGAATGAAAAAGGCTTATTTTGTGATGAAGTATTGATATGTGAAGACAGTAATTTCTGCATATTTTTCAAAAAACTTTGAAATGCTAACGCTTTGCACTTTTTAGGTCTAATCATGTTTCTGATGCACATGAGATGAGTAAAGTTGAAGAGAACACTACATTTGAGAGCAGGTTGTGTTTGTGTGTAAATATGTGTGTGGAATAAAAAGTGAACCTGAAAAAGCTTTGAAATTTGGATTTGTACTCTTTGAAGGTGACAGTTAAATTGCAGACCGTAAACCGGTAGCAAAGGGTGGGAGAATGACTATTATAGCATTTCATTTTAGTATTCGAGACCCAAACCATTTTATTATGCACAGTTCAGCTGTCAAACTCTTTATTTGACTTTGTCAAGTGCAAAAGCAGAAGAAGTGCTACAACTGCAAAATACAGATATGAGATACAAAGAAGAGCATAGACAAATGTTTTCAAAGATAATTTCTAACACCATTTTAAAACAAAATGCATCATACAACACGAAAAGAGACAGCTAGAAGACAAGAAGGTGGGCTTTGGCACTTCCTTAACACAGTACACAGAGCAGGAATATGAAGGCCAGTCGAGGCTTTAACTGTTGACTGCTGAGCCTCCTGTGGTTTGTAAGTGGCATATTTTGAACAATGATTTATATTAAATAGAGTGATAACTTTGGCTGTAGGGCTTCAGTTAAGACTGGACAAATGTAAATCTTTGGGGTTTGCAACACCAGTGCTTGACCTATGCTTATGCCACTGCAGCACATAAATGATACTGATCATGAAAAGCAAAAATATATACACCACAGAGCACCAATATATACAGAAATGTACACACACAGATGAAGCAGGGTCTTTTTTGTGAGATTAACTTGTGAGATCTTGCGCAACATGTTGGGCAGGAAAAAGGTGACATAATGTTTCAAAAATAAACTCATTTAGGGTATTAGCAGTTTGCTTTATGCTGTGTAAATGTGGAGTAACAGTGGAATAGGAGTGGAGGAGAGAATAAAGGCCCTCAATCACACTTTGGTATGCCCGTCAGTACCTCAGCAACATTAGCCCTTTTTTATATTTCTTCATAAACCCCTGAAAACAGAGTGCCAACATTTAACTTCCCAGTTTTTGTCTGAGAAAAGAAGAAAGCTGAAGTCTAAAACAGGCTGGAAGTCAAAAGTCAGTGGCATGATTTAACCACGAAATATATAATTTCCTTAGATTATTGAAAACACCTACTTTGCCCCCAGTTTTGGTTTTCCTGGTAGTCTTTCCAGGTTTTGGGGAAAAGGGTGGGTTCCCTGAGATCTGCCCACTGGACACAGGAAGTAAATATATTGATCAAAATAAGACATAAAAAAAACTGTTAACAACAACACTACCAAGAGCAGACAAAAGTACAACACGACTACTAGCTATGGCTTCAACACCTTTATAATACTTTTAGGATGTTTCTATAATGTAGCTGTTAATATATGAAATTAAAACTTGACACATGAGCATTAAATATGGCATTGGATATCAGCTCCATTAGGAAATAAAGTGCTACGTACAAAATGAATGAATGAATTACTTGGCATGGTAAAACTGCATAAATGATGCATAAGCTTTGGCAACGTTTATAGTTAAGATACAGTATGAGTGAAGCTTTCTCTATTGGTTTGGGACACCAAGCTTATTATTTTACACCGCACTTCACCAAAAAAACCCAACAATCTACATCAGAACAAAAGTGCTTTTAAATCACAACCATATTGAACACAACTTACACATTAGAAAAAAAACATTTTGAAAAGGTAATCAGACTGGGAGTCATTATAGCTTCATGATGGGAGAACTTGTGTAAATGTTCAGTACTGTATAAGCAAAGACAAATCCCTTTTCCTCAACTTTTATCTAACTTCTTCACCTTTACCCTTCTTCTTACACTCCAACGCTACTTTGTTCTGTGCTGCTACACCTCCTTCTTGTCACTACATGTGGCTTCCCTTTATCTTTTTCATTTCTTAACACATGTCCAGTATGGAGAGGACGGTTATATCTGCACCCTGAAGAAATGGCTGCTGGGATCCCAACAACCTTGAGTGTGTGTGTGTGTGTGTGTGTGTGTGTGTGTGTGTGTGTGTGTGTGTGTGTGTTTGTGTATGTTTGTGCATGCTTAATTTTGTTATCTCTTGTACCTCAGTGGGCTGAAGTGTGTGGCACATTACAATTAGCGCGTCTGTGCCTACAGTGTTATTTCTATGCATGTGTATACCTGCATGTGCGTGGGTCCATAAAACATGACTATTTTCAGACAGGCCACAAGTACCCATGGTGACCGAAATATAAAATATAAAAAAATATGTAGACAACATAACTGAGAAATCGACACAATTTTCTGAGATACACAAAAAGACTGATTGCATTATCCGCTTTCAGTTGGTTAAGTCCTTGGGTGAGCAGGCTCATGTGCTCCTGTCAGTGACCCCACGTGACCTCCAGGGTCACGTGGGATCAGGGGTTTAGGTTCAGTCAGGGGAAATAAGGAAAAGGAGTATTTCTTGGTTTCAATATTGACCTTTACTTGGCTGACTAAACCAGCTCAGTTAACATCTGGTGGCCTGCACCTTGTTTCTGTGAGAACTGAACTGGGATTTGGATGGATCAATGCTATAAACCTGCAAAGTCTTATTTTATTGCTTTCTGTTAATCTTTTAATACCCCAAACTGCTCGTCTCTGTGATTCTTCTTGCCTTCTTCTTGTACTTGTCCTATTACTTTCACATCCACTATTTTTCTCTCCTTTCCGTGGGTTTAGAGAGGAGCACCTGGGGGCAAAACCTGCTGCCCCCGTCCTCCTCTCGTCCTTAACCCAACATTTCCTCTCGCGTTCTTTTGCCCCACCTTTCTGTCCGTCCCTCTAACCACAGTCCTCAGGATTTGGGGTGTCCAGGGCCCTGCCTGTCTAAGTTGGGGTGCACCTTGTTTTTGAGGGGTGGGGGTTTGCGTTTTCGCTTGCGCGTAGGAATGGTGGTAGTGTGAGCTGGGTGGTTGAACAGGCTGGAGGAGGGGAGGGTCTCTCTCTCCGTGGGGGGATCCCAGTCCCGGGTAATAGGCGTAGGGGCAGGGGTAGATGGCAAGGAAGGGGTAGGTGCAGGGGTACATGGAGGTGCAATGGGTGTTTTAGGCAGTGGGACATGGGAAAGGGGTGTTTTTGATGATGAGAGGGGGAGAGAGGAGGAGTCAGAGGCAGATTTTCCTGTGACTGGAGCAGGTGGAGGTGCACTGACTGAAGGTTTGGCAGATGATTTAGGAGCAGGCGGTTGGGTAGTAGCAGAAGCTGGTCTGGGCTTTAAAAAGGGGACAGGTGTGGCTACTGGAGTCTTTTTGGGGGTGGCGGCAGTGTTTCCACACTCCTTTGGAAGTTCACTTTTATCTGTCTTTTTCCCCTTCTTGCTCCCTTTGTGTTTTTCTTTGCCACTCTTTCGTTCTCTCCATCCAGCAGAGTCCTTGTCCTCCCCCTTCCCTCTCTGTCCTGCCTCACTCCTCCCTCCTTGACCGCCAGCACCTCCTCTCTCTCTCCCTCTACGCCTCCTTTTCCTCTGGGCTCGCTCCAGTCTGCACTCGATGTGGTACAGATCCTCTGTTGCCATGGTGACACGGTCAAGCTGTTGCAGCAGGGCGTCCAGGGTGGGGAGAAGCCTCTTCAGAGAGGCTTCAGTCTCTGCCGTCTCCCTCCAGCTGGTACTTCCCATCACGACTCCTGGACCTAGTCCCAAACCCAGGCCCAACCCGAGCCCCAGGCCGATCCCCGGGGCTTCTGTCAGGCTGCAGGGGCTGGAGGAGGTTGGGCGCCACGAGGCCTCAGAGCCAGCATCGACGCTGTCTGGGGTGGGAGGGGAGTCAGGACCATCCAGTGGTGGCAAGCACAGGGACTTACAGTCGCTGGTGGAGGACGAACGGGACGGTGGCAGCTCCATTCCCTCGAAACGCACCTTATGGCGAAACTAAGAAGAGATGAAAGAGGACAAAAGAGAAGATGGAGGATTAGGGGAAAAGTGTGAGGATTAATGAGCACTAGCGAGCCACTAACAGACTATCTATCTACTACTATACAATATTTAATATTAATAAAGTTAAAATAGGTAAAATAATTGTGTCTCTTCTGTGAAATAGCCTCAGCAGCTGTAGATATGAAACAGGAAATGTACCTCCTTGGCCCTGCTGAGTCCCATCCACATTTTAAGTCGTCTGAGGAACAGTTCAACCATCTCGTAGTCTTGGAGATCCACAGCTGGACGGTACAGCTCTGCACGTGCACGCCGGTAGTTCCTCAGTAACACAGCGGTGACCAACCACAGCAACACCAGTCGAAGTACGGCAAAGCTTGCGTGGAAAAACAGCGAGGAGACGGTGCTAGAGGGACCGGTAGTCGTCCAGTTAGAACGCCATGATAGCAGACCACGTCCTCCGGCGCCCAACAAAGACAGACAGGCAGAGCTCACACTGCCGTAACCGTCCAATACTGAGTGGAAGAGCTGGAGTGAAGGAGACAGAGGAAGACGGGTTTTAAAGAGCTGATTCCTCGCAGTACTTCACAGGGAATATTGGACAAATCAAAAATAGTGAAAGCAGTAAAACTGCAAAACAAGGATTAGACACAAGACAAGAAAAAGCCAAACACAAAATGGAAATAAAGACCAATTAATAAAAATATGTCTTAATCTGGACAGCGTACAGTTTCTGCTCCACAAACATAGTCAGGTGCTTCACGTGCACTTTATTGTCAAAACGTAAAAAACAGACTGTAAATTTCACTGGTCGCTATTAGAGAGACACAATCACAAGTTGAGTTACAGACACTTGGTTCAAATAAGTAAAGAAAACACTGTGGTAGTTCAGTCCATGACACAAATGTATATGCTTAACTCTGTGTCAACTTACAAATTACAAATATAGCTGAAAACATACTCCAGATGTACACACAACTGTGGTGAATAATCTTATGAGGAGTATTGTATCAGTCTAGACCTGCTCTACATGAAAAGTGTCCTGAGAGAACTTCTGTTTGATTTAGTGCTATACAAATAAAACTGAATTGAACTGAATTTAGCAGAATGTTTACCATTCTTAGTTTAGCCTGTTAGCATGCTAACATTTGCAAATTAGCAATAAATACAAAGTGCGGCTAAGGCTAGTATCACTAGTTTTTGAAGGTATTTTACTTGACTAACATTTATTTAACACATTACATTACATTTAGAATATTCTTCTGTCCAAACGAAGTAAAAGTGAAATAGGTTAAAGATGAGGTTTGATGGACTAAGGCTATTTTTTGAAACCAGGTTTTACACTTTTCTGCTTGAAATAGCCATCACTCATGAGCAAAAGTAATGCTCCAAACTGTGCTAATGATACTACTGAGCAGTAGTTTTTTAGTTCTTTGTTGAAAAATTATTTATTGTAATTAATTAAATTATTATTCTGTTATGTGTTCAAATACATTTTCTTTTTTTCCACCTTCTCGTACTCATCTTTCTTCTGTTATTGTAACACGCCTCCATTGTTGGCAGGGCTGTCTCAAACAGATTATATCTCAAGGGAACATTCTGGTCACATAAGGTCAAATGAAAGCAAAAAATAGTCTGTTGGGTACCGCTGTGTTACTATAATACACAGCTGGGAATGTTCCTTTGGAATTATATATTTTATACTCAATGCCTCAGCCAAATAATAAATGTTGTCATGCTGTCATCTTTCTGTATAGCTGTTTTGCAGTGCAGTCAAAACATTGAGGCTGCTATTATAGTTGTCCCAACAATGTGAAGCAGTGTTATGCAGTCTGTGCTAAAGTAAAGGTTTAATGGATATGTTGTATACTGTCTTTGTAAAGAAAGATGACTGTAGGCAGCCTAAAAATAACCCGGGCATGAAAAGTAAACAAACACATGGGCTGGACAAGGTTATTTACATTGTGTTATGTCTTTATGTGTGTGTGTGTGTGGGAGAGGCTCAGTGAGAGAGAAACAGAAGGAACAGACGAGAAAAACTCTGACCAGGTGTCCTGTGTGTGAGTAAGCCAGCACCAACAGCAGTAATGCCAGGGCGACTCCCAGCAGCTCCCAGACTGAACGCCGCAGAGCTCGGCCAAACACGGCCCACTCTCTGAGAAACCTCAACTGGTGGGACGCCTGGATGATGATGAGAGAGAGAGAGAGAGAGAGAGAGAGAGAGGGAGCAACAGAGACAAAGAGCAAAAAAAAAAATAAAATAAAAATATTAATAATAATTATAATATTTATCTAAACAAAATGATTTTCTCTTGCTATGAAATGAAAACTTCTCTATATTACAACTTATTCATACCCATAATTCATAGTTTTGACCATCACTTCTAGCTGTTATGACCACACTGTAGTTGTATTTGGCAAATGCTTTTGGTTGCTTTTTTTAAACATTGGGAGCAATTTTGGGCTTCGGTGTCACACACAACTTCAGTAAATACAGCAGGGGAAACACTGAACCAGGAAGTCAGTCTTTGTAAGGATGAGGTTGCCATTATTCTGTATTTTCCTTATTGTAACCAAATCTCATGAAATAACCCACAATGTGTTAGCCAATCTCTCAATACTTATCAACCTTTCTACACTCTATGTGGCTCTCCGCTCTAAGCACATTAGTTCCTACTGACGATGTTACTCTTTTAAAAAAAAATTTCAACAAAAGCTTAATCATTTTCAAAACAACAAAAAGAAGACCAAAAAAATACAAGACCAAAGTTATGGCCTCTTTCTCTTACCTTGAGCACCAGTATGAACAGCAGCAAGGCAGACATGACCGTGTACATCTGACTCTGTCTAGCCAGGGGGTAGAAGTCTGTGAAAGCGTCTCGCGGGTGCTTCATGTATGACGCCCACTGCTGCGTGGCCATGGTGCAGCGGCTGAGGTGCAGCCCACACACACACGCCGCCAGAGCCAGTTTGCAGATGCCCAGAAGTCTCCAGGCTGACAGCAAATACACGTAACCTTCTCTGAGGAAACCCAAGATCCCTCGCACTAAGAAATACAACACCAGGGCGAGGAGGACAATCTGGAAAAAAACCACAACGTTGAACTGGAGATGTGTCGCCAAAATAACAGTCAGGGACAGGTTGAAAGGACCCAGGTGTTGCTTGGTGCTTGGCATGTTTTTGCATATTATTGACAGTGTAAGAGGGGTTGGCAGGGGTTACCATGAGAAGGAGCTGCAGGTCCAGGCCTGTGATTGGCCAAAGAGTGATGACAAGGAGGTCAAGGCTGGACTGGGCACGCTCAGAAACTGGAAACTCAAACAGGAAGGAGAAGACAGCCAGGAGGTTTGTGTTGATGTTGTAAAGCGAGAACTCCACGAACACAGCACGGGTCCTGTGAATACACACACACACACACACACACACACACACACACAAAATTAACGGACTATGATAACATCAGGAGTCAAGATATTTCTCCGAGTCACTTCCTGTTTTGGTTACCCCTCTGTTTTGGAAGCAACTAAAATATATGACTTATGTGAGCTGTGTGTTTCTATCACAGGAGGTTCTGATAGAAAACACTAACTCAGTTTTGTTTAAAAGACACAGTTAAGTTTTGTATTGTGCTGTGAGAGATCTCCACCACATTTTTTATTGATTTTTAGTTTTGTTTATGCCATCAGTCATTACTCGCAGAACAATTGTTGAAAGCCAGCCCACATTCTTAGCGCATTCTTTACTGGACTGTTTTCCATCTTTTATTGTAACGTCTAATGTTTTCATGTGCAACTTCTTAATGACTGCAGGCTGTAAGAAAAATTGCACTTCAGGGAGAATAAAACCACTCCGGGTTTATACCGCCACGAGTATGCTTGATTTTGTTTGATTCCATTATTGTGAAATCGTGTGCACATGCACATCAGCTTGATTTTTACTCCCTTGCATCTGGCCTCTGGACAACCTGACCGGTGACATCAGCGAGCAAATTCTTCTTTTAGAAAATAAACTAACATGAACTGTAATACATGGTGGGGGGGAATAATAATACTACATAATACTGGTTCTATTGATTGCATTATATTGCCTTGATTATGCTATATATATTAAATATTTTCCCTTTATTAGATAAGACAGCTGAAGATAGACAGGAAAGAGGGTAGAGAGAGAGGGGAAGACACACAGCAAGGACCCAGCCCCTGCACAAAAGGCACCGGCTCCACCTGGTGATCTATCTGGGTGCCCACATTAGGATGTTATTACGCTCACTTCTTTCTTTAATATTAACTATTACGCCAGTCCAGTCTTCCTGTGTTCACTACCTGTAGTCGAGCCAGTGCAGCTGCTGCAGCTGCTGTAAGGAGGAAGAGGCCTCCTCCAGGCTTCTGTTTAGCTGGTGGACAACATCTCCACTGTTATTCATCCCCATCTGACCTAAACGCCACACCCTAGAAAGACGAGTGGGAGGAGACACAGAGGAGAAAAAAAGAACATTGATATATTAAAGACGATCAGATGTAGAAACAGACACTGACTCTGACCCACAAGTTCACTTAATGCCTGCCTTCTTAAAGCATGTTAAAGTTTCCAATCCTTTCCTCACCAGTTTGTGTTGTTAGCTCCAGAAGCAGTGAAATTCTCAGGGTGTTCAGCTGGTGATGTAACCCAGTCCTTTCCCCAAATATTGTCTCCTATGCTGGAACCACCTGCAGCTGGAAGAAATACATTCAGTAATATCATACTGACATTAAATTGAATTCATTTAATAAATTCCCACAGAAGAGTTACTTCAAACATGAAAGAGAATGAATTCAGCTAATTGATGTTCAGAAATGGTAGGTCTGCTGGAGTGCCTGTGATGTTACACTTTAAAAAATGTATGCAGTTGACTCAATATTATTGAAACAAAGACAGACACAAAGAAACAAAGAAAAATGTCTCCAGAAATATATATCTTTCATATGTTCAGGTTCAATAAGTCAGTGAAGTTTTCTGTCAGATCAGTGGAGCTTCATTTTTAAAAAAATATTTATCTCCCACAACAAAGGCAAAGACAGTGACAACATTTCAAACTCACCCTGAGTGTCACGGATTTGACGGAGTCTCAGCGTGCCAAGTAACACACTTCCTGTGTCTCTCAAGAGGGCGGAGTCATCCAGTAGCCGTGGCAACAGGGACTCATTCAGCCACATCAGAACATCATCTCGGCTAAAAGAAAATAATTAGATGATCTGAAAAAAATCTACATTGTGTATTTGTCATGCATGCTTTACAGAGCTGTGACAATGTAACATCTTGTTTGTGTATGAACAGACTGTACAGCTGACTAAGAGACACTCTGGATCAGCTTTATTTTAAATACAATTGTAAGTAAAATAATAAATTGCTTGAGCCAGTTTCTTCCACTTTTGTTCTCTTTTGGTCTTAATACAATGACACATCCAGGTCAAGTCTCAAGAACACACAAGAAAATGGGAGCAGGACAGAAATCCTTTTTTATGATGATTTCACACGCTGTGTTTGCCTAAAAATGTCACCAAGGCAAGCAGCAGGCCCCCCTTGAAAAATGACCAGTTATTCTCAGCGGAAGAAACTAATAAAAAAGGTCAAAGTTTACATTTAAAAGAAAAACCTCCTATTGAGTGGACCACTACAATATTTTTAGGGACAGTTGTAACCTCTACCTTTTCATGTGTGTGTGTGTATGTGTTTGTACCTGCTGATATTGTGGTACTCAGGTGTGTGTAGTGCTCGTTGAAGCTGAGTGCGTAGTCTCAGGCTGTGTGTCTCTTTGGCCGAATCAGAGTAGTTGAGAAGCAAAACCACCAACAGGAAAAACATGTAAACCAGGAAATTCTGAAAATAAGAACCAACAATTCTGTTAACAAGCGAGTACATCTAAATGTCCACAGCACAGTAAAGATATAAACACAATTTCCAGCATCATCTCTCTAACCTTGTATGTCTATCACGTTCTGACTCACCTTCAGCATGGTGTGTAGCATGTGGACCTTGCGGGCCTGATGTCGAGCCTGAGACAGAGCAAAGCCCTGCGGCGGTCTCACCCTGGGGACACGCTGGACTACTCTCTCCACCCGGGGGAACTCCACCAGCACATCCTGCTCCTCTGGACGCAGGCGATGCACAAGCACTGCATAATAAACTGCCTCACACAACACCTGTGAGACAGAGGGTGGAGCGGTCAACAGAGCTGTTAGAGTTTGGAAACTCTTTTAAAATTCAAGAGGTCGTTTCATTTACATTTAGATTGGTCAGCTGGAATGAAAATAGGAAAACTATAGATTTTAAACTCAGAGATTCTTTTGCTGAAAGCAGCTGCCCTTTGTGGCTGAGAACATGGCTGATGAGAGTGAACCAAAACATTAAAGTTGAGAGCTGTGATAACCAAAAGAGTGAGCCGAGAGACACGGAGAGGAACTGCAGAGTCTGGTGATAATTCTATGCGGGTTCATCACTGCAGGCTTTATCTTTCAAATTACACAAGCAACACAGTATGAATTTAGATTTAGAAAATAATATGCATCTCTGAGAATAAAAGTGTGTGTACCTTTATTGGCTCCAGCAGCAGGCAGGAGCACAGGAAACTGGCAAAACATGAGATGAGCCACATCATGGCCACACTTTGACTGAACCCGTGGCCCGCCCAAATGGAAACACCACTGGCCAGAGCGATCCCTGCCCAGCTGCCCCACAGGGCAGCACGTCCACACCAGGGAGGAAACCGTCTGGGACGACACACGTCTGTCACAACTGGAGAGGGGGGGAGAGGAACAGAAAAAAAACATTGTAAAAAGAATACTGAAAAAAGATATTAAGGCCCCAGAGTTGAAACAAAGCAGAGTGATCAGGCGATAAAAAATGAAATATAAAGAAAAAGACCTATATACATTTTTAATTCACTCATTCAAGGAATTTGCATTTTAATTATCTTGTCTGATAAATATGTGTTTGTAGGTAATTTCACACTTCACAAAGGAAGAAATGTTCTAGTCTAGGCAAGTACCCACATCGACACAAAAAGAGACTCATGAAGAAATAACACCACAAACAAATCAATTAAGTTCCCCAGAAGAAGAATAAATGTGCTGAGACAAGTGTGGCTTTTCAATTACTTTTTTCTTTCTTTCTTTGTTTTGCCTATTAAACATTCTGGCAGCAAAATGAAAGCATGATGCATATACTCACATCAAAACATAACTATATTGGCCCAGACACACAGCCGCTAGCACTGGGCTCATTACTAAATACAAGTAACACAGCCTGACCCATTACTCATCTTTCTTTTTTAAAAGTAATCATCAAACTTTGCTCTTTACCTAATTAGAGTAACAAGTCTCATCCAAAGAACAGGATTTATGTGTCCTGTGTCACTAATCCGGCCAAAGAGCAAAGCATGCGGAGCAACAGCAGAGCAGCTCACAGATAATTGATCTATGAGGAAAACAGCTTTCGGATGCCCTTTAAAGTCCAATTTGGAGATCTTTTACGACGTCTTTGTTTATGTGATGATATTTATCTTTTGATGTAATAAGCAGAAGAAAAATTTTTTTGCACCAATTTTTGCATTTACAACAAAGACCTTGCTGTTATTTTTCGTATGAAATCATTCTGAAATAAAGTAGTGGAAACACTAGACTTATTTACCATTTTCTGCTAAGTTATCCTGTCTACTGCTAATCCACAAATTTAGTCACATACTGAAGTTCTAAAAATATGAAACTTGTATGTTTTGGAGTGATTGTACAAAATATCAAAGATCGTGATGAGTAATGTGTTATCTGGAGCAATATGTATCAATATTTGCATTTGATTTAAACATTTGATAGGATGTAACACCAATAAAAGCTAAGTCATAAAGTTGTACATACATATTTATTACTTATTATGTACAATGTGGTACTAAAAAAAACTGTTTTATACCGTATGAACTTGCTCTTATTCAAGCAAGAAAGTTTTATTCCTGCCCCAGTCTGGTTTTCTTTTTCTTTCCTTTTTAGTTTAAATTTCTATTATTAACTCCCTATTAATAAATCCCTGATATATATAATATAAATATATCAAATGGTGAGACTGTGATTAATCATGTGATTGTTTTACTCTTTTACATAAGTAGGATGTCAGCACACTTGGTTCTTTAGAGCATTCTTAAGTGTAATTCTTGATAAATATGGGCTCTGAGTGCTGAATTGGATGAATTTGACAATTCAAATCTATATCTACCGGATGTCTCCGTGTGCACGCACACACACACACACACACACACACACACACACACACACACACACACACACACACACCTGTATTTGAGGTGAAAGCAGTTTTTGGTGGGTCTCTTCTCCCAGATTCTAGAGGAAGAGGCTCATTCATCTTCTGGAGGAAAATCACTTCAGTCTTATCTCCTAAAATGCTCGACCTGACAGACACACAGGCAACGGAAATACAGTTAAACACCAACCCTTTCAAGTAAAGCTAGGGAATTCATAAAAGTGCAGTGAAAAGTGATCAAAACTTACAGGTCAGCCATCTCACTTTCATCTGCCTGAGGAAAGAAGTTCTGTCCATCTGTCAGGATGTGTTTGATCAGATCCTCGTCTGTGAGTGACAAGAAACAGTTTGGACTTTCATTTGACACCCACAGCGTGATAAAGCAGCCAAAAGCTAAATGTACTTGATAAACTGAGTACAGTTTAAACATCTGATTCGTGCAACTGTTTAAAAAGCCTTCCTTCTTTGGTTACCTGAGGAGGTGAAATACTTGTTGCGTTGATCAGGCCCCTCCTCGTCGTCAGGGTTAAATGTCATGTCGACACCCAGGTGCCTGCTCCCCTGACCCCTCTTCAGCCTGGGCAGCCCTGCCCCATGCCCCGCCCCTCCCACTACAGACACATCACTCAACAGCTCCGACCAATCCCTGTCCTCCAGCTCCTCCTCTGCCATTCCCCAACTCTCCACACTGAAATACACAGCGAGAGATGTTTGTTATGTAGTGTGACTTCAGCAGATTATTCAGTTATGCTAATGGACTATAGAGTTTCTTCTCTGTCTCTCTTAAAGCTAACAAAATCAAGTTTCTCTGGGAATTATAACGAATAATTTATCGTTGTTTTGTGACAAGAAAGAAATTACAAAGAGGCGAATAGAAAAAACACATTTGATCTTTTCAGTCTCTTTTAGAACACAATACTCTAAATTACAAACTAATTCCACCCTCTTCTTTTTATTTTGTATGCTCTTTCATTCTCTCTTATGCTCACGTATACTGTCACGAGTAGCTCACCTTTTGGTTGATGGAGTGGGCAAATCCACATTGGTTTCCTCTGAGTTGGTCTGAGAAACAGAGCCGGATGGATGCAAAGATGGATGGATTGAAAAAAGAGAGGAGAGAGAGAGAGAGAGAGAGAGAGAGAGAGAGAGAGAGAGAGAAGAGAGAGAGATACACACACTAAGGAACTCACAGGGGAAAAGCATAAAATGTTTCCTTGCTTGACTGCACCGTGCATTTTTATCTAAAACAATCACTACGGCGGAAAGCCATGGTATTTATTTTAATCTAATATTGATTACATGTTAGAGGAAAAATACATTAGGCATCTGAACTATTACCGTATCAACCATTTTATAACCCCATCTTTTCCCAAGAGAGTCTACCTCGCCATTAAAAAAGAGGAAGGAACTTCCAGCCATGGAGTTATCCAGAAAGTCATCAATCTCCACTGACTCCTGGTCCACCTGTGGTGGCACCTGCTCCACAGACACACACTAACGTCCACAAACACACACACATATACACACACACACACACACACACACACACAAACAGAAAATATTCAGCATCTCATTTGGCCTGTGGGAGGTAGAAATAAACCTTAATTGTGTTACAGTTTTGGGCAGGTTTGTGTTACCTTGCTGCGGCTCATTCTGAAGAGCGTGAAGACGAGCAGGTAGAGAGGGTAGACGATCAGACAGGTCACCATGCCCGCTGCCACCGTCTCTCCATTTAATGAAGCGAACCTCGACACGGCCCTCGGGCTGCAGCACAGGATGGCATTCAAATGTAGCAACAAATCATAAGTAGTTGTCATGAAGACACAGAGACAGATAGACAGGGAAGACAGAAAAAACAGACATTCCTATACCTGTATCTCTTGTCCACCACAATGCTGTACCACAGAGTGTTGGCCAGTATAAAAAGCTGCAGCAACACGGCGCAGCAAGTGGCCCTCTGCAGGCGAGTGAAAGGGCTGCGGGGGGGTCTCTCCCACAGCGACAGCCACAGGTGACTCTCACACAGCGCCCTCTGCAGCTCACACCGCAGGAGGCGGGGCAGCTGGCGAAGCACAGCCTCCTCTGAAGGAAGCGGCAAGAATCGCGATGAGTTAACAAAACAGGCATCAACCATCAGTAGACTTATTACGGATGCTTTGGTTGTAGTTTCTTACCTGAGGCCTCCACCTCAATTTCTACCCGCCCGTCAGTTCTCTCGTTGTCGACTGAGAGCCACTCCTCAGCCAGGAAGTAGTAGCTGCTTCCTGTCTGCAAGTCTTTGACCAAAACGTACTGTAACATCCACGCTGGGGACAGACCTGAGGCGGGGCCAAGAAGAAATGTGGTCAGATATCAGTTGATTAAACTCTTAATGATTACAGGTTTCTGTTGGTGTGTGCATACGAAACAGTACCCTTGTTGTCATGCCAAATTCGTATTTTCCAGACACTGCCCAGGCTGGAATCCGTGGCAATATGAAAGATGTCAAGAGCATTGCGTGTGAAAGCTCCCCTGCTGTCGAGATGGCGGTGTCCGCTGCTTCTCTCACGTCCGTACAAACTGATTCCCACATGAGCCGTGGTGCCTGGAGGGACAAAGGGAGACTCATTATATCGACTACATAAATTCTGAGCACTGCAGAGACTCTCCTTTTTATCAACATGTTGAATTTGTAGTAACATCATTTTTGGTGTTTATTTGTTATTGCTAATTATGACAACAAATTATTTATTTTTACAGAAATTGCACTTGATAAAGGTTGTTCATTTACAGACTACAATAAAAATGTCAGTACACATTTGTACTTTTTAATCTTATTTTCTTAAAAAAGCAACAACCTTTATTTCATGAATTGAAATGCAGTTAATCAGGGATGTCCTTGCAGGCCAACAATCAGCCTAATACAACATAGTGTAACTTCAGTCTATGTAGTACTGTAAATACTGATTTATACTTACTGACTAGTAATACCTACTAATAATACTATTAAATGACACCTATGCATTCTTTTTACCATCCTGACAGCTGTTCTATATTGTTGCTTCACTAACTCACCAGCCCCCCGGCTCCAGCCAGTCTTGACCTGAATCTCGTACTTAAAGAGTCCGTCTCGGCCGCAGAGTGGAACCACACCAGCCCTGCGCAGATCCAGCTGGTCCAATTTGTGCAAGATGGCTGCTGCCACAACATAGCACAGTACGCCCAACACACAGATCAAAAGGATGACCAGGCTTGGTGCACCAAAGCGCTCCTGAAGGGGAAGGGAAACTGCTTAAGTGTGTGTTTATATGGTACATGTGGACAAAAAGTATTTGTTTTTGAGATACTGACTGGCACTTTAAAGCTGATGGCGTTGGCTGGTACAAACAGGCCTGCAGCGAAGGCCGTCAGGTGTCTCGTGCGACAAACAGCTCTGCTGGCGTTGGTTTCTGCCAGGGGCACCATGCCATCTGTCCGCCACTGCTTCTCACTCTCACTGAAGTACTGGCACAAAGAGGCAAACACCCCAACCTCCAGATGAACCCCCACAGGCTGAGAGCTGGGCCTGCAGGCTGTGGACACGTTGATAAAATAGTCCAGGGTTGTGTCGTACGACCTGTGTGGCACAGGACAGAGGAATTTGGTTGTAGTCAAACTGTACCAAATGCATTGCTTGGTGCTCCAAACAATACTATATAATTCTGTTTAAAGGGTTAGTTCGGGTATTTTGAAGCAGGGTTTGAGGTTCTTGATGGCAAAGTAGAGCTGTGAGAGAAGTGAGCCTTTTTAATGAGGATAAAATGTGTTTTTCTGCTCCCCCTGTCCACAGCAGTTCATAGCTCTGCCTCTGAGCTGGTACTCCTGTCTGCTCCTGCAAACTGAGGACGTGCTGACTGCTGTCTCCTATACACTGACTGTGGAGAAGGACGTCATACACGCCCACTTCAATGTACCCAAACTTTCCCATTTAATACACATCATATTACACAGCAGTGGATGAAGGGCTCTTACTCTGGCGACAGGAAGAAGGTGTATTTCCTGTGGTCAAGATTTTGTCCCCTGGTCATACGAAGTGTGATGTGTTTTCTCTCTGTGCAGTTGAACTCATTGGGTCTTTCATGTGAATGAAGGTAGGCTGTGATGTAAGGTTCCTCTTTTCTTTTATGTTTTTTTTTGCTGGCATCTGGAGAAGGGAAGGAAAAAATAATGAGAAGAATAAAACTGGGTCTATACAATCACAATAAAAACTGTATAATTTGTGTAAAAAACTGTATGAAAAAAGAAACTAATTATAATTACACTAGTTATCAAACCACTTGTAGGAACCATGCTGTAACACCAAATGACCAAACAGTTATATAACGTAGTGAGTCATTCAATAAATTCTGTTTAATGTCTGTGTACCCACTATGTTAATGCATCTGTAGAATGCAATCTCATAATACAATGTAATCTATTTAGCCCTATAATAGCTATAGGTTGGCAATCCTATTCAAACCTCACACTACACCACTCATGCTGCAATTAAACACTGGACTCATAATTATATATTACATCTTGCACTAAAATAACGTTAGATGTTCGTTCAAATAGAGAGAGCAATGGGTGCCAGCAACACAGTATGGTATGGAGAGAACACTGCAGCAAATCACAGCTGCTTGGACACGACAGTGCAAACAAAGAAAGGGAGAATAATAAAAAGGAAAAAGGCTCAAGGGGCTCTTTTATAATGAGTTATGTGTGTACGTGACTTGTATAAATGCCTTGCTCACACAGTTTCTACAAAAACTGAACATTGTAAGCTTAAAAAAATGGATTGTATTGTATACATTATAAAATGTATGTATGTGATGAACCTGAAAGCTCACCCTCCAGAGAGGTGAAGTTGAGTTGCACGAACAGGCCTGCGTGTTTGTTGGTGTTTCCCGTGCTGACCCTGACGATGACGGAGTCACAGTGGCTGATGTTAACAGCTCCAGCTGTGGGGACCCCTCCAGCACCAGAACCCTCAGGACCTGCTTCTGTTCCACTACTTCCATTGTTAATGGCAACAGTGATGGCTTGGCTGTCGTCCAGTCCGGAGATGGGAATCTGGGTGCCGTTTTCAGTGCGGAACTCCATGGATGCCACCTCGGTGGAGACAGTATAATTGGCCACATAGTTAAAGGGGAAGGGGTTAGACTCCACCTGGTGAGAAAAAGAAGGAAGGAGAGGGGAGAAAATTAAATCTGATGTAAGTAAAACTGAAAAAGGCTAAAAGACATTAATTACAAGAGCACATCAGACAAGTTATTTCTGTGTGTGCTGATGAGAGACTTTGGCACCAGCAGCTGTCAAGCTGCCAAGTTCTTTAACAGAGATCTAAAGATAAAGTTTAAAAGGAGAATTTTGTACTCTGAGTGTACACTGAGTAGTTTCCATCCTGTTTGATGTTTTCTGATGTTACCTGAAACAGTAGCTGCATGATGCTGTTTCCTGCAGCCCCTCTGCCAAGACTGTTGTTGAAAGCCCGGGGGATGGAGAACCGCTCGCACTCTGGAAATATGAAAGAGTAGAGAGGAAGAGATGATTAAACACTGATATAAACCATTATGATGCCTGTGTTTCATTACTGTCCTGTTTTTTTATACATTGCGAGGTGATGAAAATGACCCACAGAAACAACGTCCATCAGCTTTTGAGATACTAAATGCACAAGCCCACCTGGACTGTTGTTGCCGTGGTAGCAGAGCAGGCTCTGGGGGTCTGCCAGTTTTCCCGTGGCACCGATCTCTGCTCCCCTCAGCACGAGCGGCTCCTCGTTGAGCACACGGGCGTGCATGAGGATCAGCATGAGGACTGACGACAGGCTGTAAGCTTTGGCTGCCACTCGCAGAGGGTGTGGTTCCAATGAGGAGGGAGAGGGGTCTAACAGGGCGCCCCCATGCACCTCAGAGGGGGAGTAAGAAGTGGGGAAGAGGGGTGAGGGGGAATCCACGTAGGTGGGCTGGGATGCTGACTGGCTGACCTGATGGATCAAATCACCTGAAGGGAGGAAGATGATATGAGATAAGGTTAATTGATGATGATTTTCACTTTTCACCTAGAAATATGTAAAATAAATTAATTATTGAGATCAAGTAGAGCATGAAACACAGAACACAAAAGCCTTCAGGGCAATGAGGCAGGTAGTCAGTCACACACCAACAGCAATGACACTGTTTTAGTAAAACTGGATCATATTTGATGGAAAATATGTTTTCTGGTTTTCCCTCTGTTGTACCCCGGCTGCTCCACCTCAACTCTCAGTGATTTACAGAGTTTCCTGGACAGTTAAGTTATTGCTCCAAAATGTAGCAGCTGTTAGCTTGGCTGTACTGCCCTGCACGCCCGAGACTGGGTGCTCAGAGCACCAGGGGAGTGTTAGTGTTTATACTGCTAGGACAGGAGCAAACGGGCAATATAACCGGGCTCAGCAGCTTCTATGAACATAGCTAATGGCAGATGCAAAGAGACCTTAGAGGATGACGAAGGAAGCTAAGAAGAGAAAAGGAGAGAGAAGCAGAGAAGCTGCCAGACAAGAATAAATGTGGGACTGGCTTTTAGTTGTTGGCATGAGTTTTTTGAAATAAAAGGCTGCAGACAGATTCAATGTTACAGTTTACTTTAATTTAGATTTTGAGACCAACAACACTGTTCTGGAAGATGGAAACACTCAAGGTACTTACAGAAAGATAGAAATCATTCTTTCTTACCCATGATGTTCAGGATGTTGTCAGCTATCTCAGTAGGAGTGACAGTGCCCTGCTTGGTGTCAGTCTGCAGTATCTCAAGCATGGACTCCAGCTTGTTCAGAGTGCTGTTCTGACACTCCTCACAGATAAACTCTCGACTCCCCGCCTGGAAAACACAAACAAACACACACACACACACACACACACACACACACACACACACACACACACACACACACACACACACACACACACACACACACACACACACACACAACTGATCATTTGATTGCTGTCTCGACTCTTTCCTTCGTATTCTTTGCCTTTTCCAATCATCCTTCTTTCTTTATCTCTTTCTCTTTAGCTCACCGTGCACTGAGCCAATGCAGCGGAGGTCTGCTGGATGTCGTTAACAGTGGTCAGGTCAAGAGCGGTCAGGGCTCTGGTGATGTTGCTGCGGACTCTGACTCGGTAACTGCGCTCTTCTCGGGACACCCTTATCGCAACCCTGGTCTGCTCATACTGGAAGAAGTTAAAAATAGGTATACAGTGGGCTTCATGTATCATCAATGGATGAATTATTGTAGCGATAAATGCATTAATCAGTGCTGAATGGCTTGGCCTTGTCTACCTCATTTAGGACTGTAATAAGAGCCAACGATAACTCTCTAACCCTCTGGGAGTCTCCCTGCTCCAACAGTTTTTTGAGTTTGCTGTCTGTCAGCTCAGTCAGCCAATGGGGGAGGCTGTTGTACTCAGGGGGCGGATCTGGCAGCACAACCTCGATGGACCTGGACACAAACACAAAACAAAAAGCTGTTACTGAATGCAGTGTGCATACACCTGGCCGCATGTGAGTACAAAGATGGGGTGCACAGTAGCTCACTTGGTAGAGTGTGCAAGTCCTTAGTGCAGCGGCCTTGGTTTGATTCCAACCTGCGGCCCTTTGCAGCATATTGCCCCCCCTTTTTCTGTCCTTGTCTTCACCTGTCCTATCAAATAATAAAAAGCCCCAAAAATGTATTTCAAAAAATATTGTGAGTGCAAGGACACTAATGCGGTTTAGCCATTAAAGGGATGAGATCAGATTAGGTTTTATTTTATTATTTTTCTTTTTTCAATCCAGGAAGATCAGCAGCCAACAATAGAACAAAAACCTCGGAAATGACGGGGAATTTTTAACGCTTAGAAAAATTCTGTAATGTACGGGCTTAGCAGGCTACAGTAGCTTGGGATGTACAAAACATGTATCTGGGACTGGACCTAGATCTAGGACTGGATTAACTGACCTCACTGCTGCTTAACTGAATTGAGTAAAATGTAGTTACTTGTTGAGTGCAGTGATGGCAGCTCCATGGTGGTCCTCCACTGTGATGGATACGGCTACACGGTGTTGGGCTGAGCTGAAGCCTGGGGGCAGGAAGGCAGAGTGCTCCGGGCTGCTGCCTTTATACACACAGAAGTCCTCGCAGTAGTCTTCTCTGCAGCGCGTCACCAGTAGACTGTAGAGCAAAGGAGTCTCTGAGACCCCTAGATCACTGTAACCTAGAGGCGAGAAAGTGAGAAAGACAAAGAGGACACACGAGAAGACAAGACGACAATCTTGGTAAAAAGGTGATGAGTAATGGAGGGAGAAAACTGCTAATGATATTGGATGAATTCAACAAAATCAAATGTTGGAAACACTGAGAGTAAAGGAAGCCTATTGTGATTTGGGTGCGTGAGAGCAAGGCCACACTTTCTTTTTTCCTACCAGAGCAGTTGAAGTGCACCCGATCCAACAGCGTGCTTATCCTCCAGTCACCATCTCTGTCCCCGTAATCCATTCCCGCTTCACCTCCCGCTGTCAGGTGACACTTCCCGCCAGTCGGGGGATTATTGTGGTGCATAGTGATGGAGGCGACGCCTTCGCCATCCAGACTGCTGTCGTTCACGTGCAGGGTGAAGATGTAGGACTGTTGGTTGCGTAGGATGCCCTGCCGCAGCACCAGGTTCATGCGGTCACTTCCTGTTGTAGTGGAGGAGGAGTCTAGGACCAGAGTATCGTTCTCCAGCGTCATGGCACTCCAGCGCTGAGAGGCAGAGGGAGAAAGATTGAACTAAAAACGAGCTACATTTGGCGATTTCTTCTGAAATATAAAGGCTTTAATAAATTAAATGAGCAGCAATCAGCCAGCCTAAAAGCTTTCATTAAAGGTAAGGAGAACTTCCACTTTGCATTTAAATTTGTTTTGTTAGGGTCCAGAAACCAGACTATAAATGACCTAACTTAATGCTTGTAGTGTGTTGTTTCCTGGGTAGCAGGTTAAGAATGAAAAAGGGGTAATTAGGCTGAGCATGCTAATAGGAAGCTGGTTTGTTGGAAAACTCACAGTGACAAAAACACCTCAGGAAGTCACTGCACTTGATCAAGAAACAGTCCAGCATATAACTTTAAACAAACAAGCTATAACGTGTTAATTAGTGATATTTAGAGGTGTTGGTAGGCAGTTTTTGTTTCTCAGCAAGAAAGCAAATAAGCATACTTTCCTAAATGTCGAAATGTAAAAAAGAGATCCTTATTTTGGGCCCATTCAAAAGACCCTATAGAGGTGTCTGGGACCTTTAATGAATACTGAATGACCTGAGAAAAGAAGCAGAGCATTCTAGACAATCAAAAGAAACATCAAGATAGACATTTCAATTCAAATTTTGTTTAAAATGTTTAATTTAGTTATAGAACCAATTGCTCTGTATGGGACCACTCAGCAAACATCTACATTTTAAAAATTGGGACAAACATCCACTTGAAACACTTTTATGGATTATGGATTTCTGCAAAAGTACAGAGACCTTTACAGAAAAACTAATGAGACCTGGAGAAAGAAATTGATAAGGTACAGACACACAGCCCTAGAGACCGTTCGTCACAGACAGACCTGGCTGCCCAGAGAGGACAGGCTGTGTGCACGGTGCACACAGAAAATATTATCTAATTTTCTTTAATTTCGGCATGTCCCTCATGCTGCTCTGCTAACTTTGTGAGTGTAATAAGTGCTTACATTACACAAAACTAAAATACTATATGTTCTTACTGTCCTCAACAAGTTATTTGGTAAAACAAGTCATTTTTCATAATTTATATATTATTTTCATGATAAATTCATCATTACGTGGTAAATACTGGCTGATGTAATCAGTGACATCACCACCACTATTTTGTCTTTACTGACCGATTTGACTATTATTTTTTAAGAAATGGTCTTCCCAGATAAAAAACATGTCTAAAATCAGATATTTTATCTTTTGAAAGTGCGGAGAAATTAAAACATGCAATTAGATAATACTTCATTATACCCGTTCTCCTAACAAGAAGTGCAGGGAGCACATTATTGCCTCTCTTCATTATCTCCCACTAGGGTTAAGAAATAAACATACAATTTTAGTTATTAGCAATCAGCACGTTGTAACTTTAAAAAGTGCTACGTAAATAAATGGAACTAAATTGAAATTGTTGATGGAAACTAAACTTCTTCCAGCTGTTTCTGATGCTATTCTGTTACTCGACTGATGACGTACAGTACGTACATGTGAAAATGTGTAGTCAGATGTATGCAAAGAGTTCCACATTCAAAATGACCCCTGAGCAGTATGGAAACTGAAGCACAAAAAGTGACCTACGTTAGAGCACAGCTGAGCGCAGTCAGCTGGTTTTTGCAATTTAAGGCCCAGTGACTCAACAAGTATTTTGTCTTTCAAATTGTTTTCCTGTGTTAGTGAGGACCAAACCTATTCTTTCTGGCTCCAGTTGTACAATGACCTCATTCTCACACCCACACACTGCTTCCTGCATCAAGAATCCCAGGGAAAGTCTGAAAAAAGGAGAGAGGTGGAACAGGAGGAGGAGGAGGAGACGAAAGGATCTGGAAATGTTGATTTCACTGTCGCTTCTGTGGTGCAATAACCTCATTTGGCTGTGAGACAGAGAACCAGATTTACAATGTGTGCTTGTACTTCTGTGTGTGTGTGTGTGTGTGTGTGTGTGTGTGTGTGTGTGTGTGTGTGTGTGTGTGTGTGTGTGTGTTTGTGTGTTTGTGTTTACCCCGCGGTGAAAGCCCTGGCAGTTGGTGCAGGTTCCTCTGAGGTAGACGTACGAGTTCTGGCTGACCTCGTAGATTGACTGGGCCTTACAGGACACACACTCCAGATACACCATGGGAATATGGCCGCTCTGGACGAGCACCTGTTACACACACAAACACATAGATGCCGTCAAATGTAAGCAGCCCACAAAAAATTATTGATCCATTTGCTGTTTCTTTCTTTATGACACATGTTATTGCTTATTGTTCCCGGTTGTTGTGCTGCTGATCAACAAACAAGAGATAACAAAATGAAAGCTTGGAAGGAAGGAATAGAGAATGCTGAGATTGTGAGAGAATAATGTGTAATGCTGTATTACAGTGAATAATATGATTGATGAAATGAGTAAAAAGAGAAACAAATACCCTGACACACAATATTATTATTTTATTATATATTTGAATCCTCCTGATGTTGAGTTGTTGACTGGTGCCTATGAGTTGATTATTTGTGCCTAGCAACTGTGTGCGCTGATGTTTATGGCAGTGCTTGGTTTTATTAGCGTTTCTTTTATCTGTGATATTGTTTTCTTTTAAAATGTGCTTTATGAATAAATTTGACTAGACTTTTTGACTATCTTAATATTCAAACAGTCAAAAGCCAGACACTAACCCTAACCACTGATTAAACTACATCTTGCACCGTGAACAGTTCTTTCCACACTAATAAGACTGTCTTCCTGATTGCTACGTGTCACAAACTACAGAGAGAGCAACTATTCTGACAGCAGAGGCGGACCTCAAGCTTTCAAACTTGCCTCCGGTGGTTGAGGGCAGAATCAAAGTGACAAATCACTTCTAACACGCTCAACATGTTAAAGGAGGAAAAGACAGATGATGCACACAGCACTGCCCTCTGTTGAACATGACGTAACAGGGTTATTTTAAGGAAATATAGCGCTAAACACTGCTGCCAGCATAATATATGGGCCCCTAATTGTATTGACTTTTTTCATAATAATTATAATAGGGTGTATGTATTAGAGATAAATTGGCCAGGTCAATATATCGTCCATTATTAGCTTATTGCAGATATATATCTGAATCTTGTGACCCATTGAAGGCGTCCTGACCCACAGGTTGGGAACCACAGACTTGGATGCATGTATTCAATGTATTCACGTGTGCAGGAGAATGTGTGCACTCACAGTCTGCGTGGTGGACTCTGGTGCCATGCCGTCTTTGCTGATGGTCAGTCTGAAAGTGTATTCGACGCCCGCCTCCAGCTCTGAGCCGGAGATTCCCAGCACCGGACCGCTGGAGCCCAGGCCGAAGTTCAGACTGGAGCAGTGCGCTGCACCCTGCAAGCAGAATGTGGATTTTAGCATTGTTTTGTTTGTGAAACTTTCTCATGCTTTACATTACATTTCACGTTAACAGCAGTACTGATATTCAGAGTAAAGGTAAGCAATATATTTCTATTGAACTAAGAAATTATATTCAATTTGGTTAGCGTAAAGTTGGGATATCATTTTACAGTAATGCAGCCACTTAAATTAGAAAAAGGCATTGAAGAGGCTCAGTTTGACTGCTGTAACTTAAGTTCTTTGTAGATTTGTAACAAAGTCATAAAAACCTTAAACAAATATTTTTTTTCCATCTTAGGACAATTTCTAACAGATACTGATAAATGCAGAGACATGCTTTATTACAAGTCGCTTTGCAATTCTGTCTTTATTGGATTAACCCCCCCCCATAAGATCTTGCAGAAAGAAACATCTAAATGTGTAGATCAATAACTTTTTTCCTTATTAAACCAACTCTACATCTGCTACAACCGTATTGGTATCAGATTTAGGGCAGTGTTGGACATATTATCAACGGTGTTTCTGTAAACACCATTTCTCCTTCTTTTGAGCTTTGAGTCCTTCTGTTTCACTCTTTGTGGTCAGACTGAGCCTCCTTCTTTCTCTTTATCAGCAGTGTTTCACAGCTGTGTGAGTGTGTATGTGATGTGTGCATGTTGTTTACTGTATATGCAAGTGTGTAATTGTCAGGGTGGGGAGCAAAGCACCAGCTGTGGAATGCTGAGTTTATCTCTAAACAGTTGCATAACCCTTTAAATGCCTGCTGTGTCTGCTTAGATGTACAGTACGCACACACACACACACACACACACACACACACACACACACACACACACACACACACACACACACACACACACACACACACACACACACACACACACACACGCTCACAAGCATACACTCAACATTCAAGAGACACGTTCACAAACTGTCCTGAAATGGGTTCTTCTCTTTAGATCAATGTTGCCAAGCCTCTCTGAAGGCAGTAACAGTACTTGGGACCATATGACCATTACGTAATTTTTCCACAGTTCTCTTTGCAGAATCAAATCTGTCCTCCAAACTCTGTCTTATGAATACACCATTAGAAAAGTACCAATAAAAAGCTTGAGAGTAGAGTTTGGTTTGACAATTCAACACTCTTTTATTTCTATTACGCACAAGCCAAATGTTGAAAATATAGCAAGAGACAATCCCGTCTAACCACAGGAGCAAGAAGCAGAAGCAAATCGTTTTCAGTTATAATTTGTGGAAGCTGCTTTTATTTCATGCCTGCCCTTACCTTCGAAGTACTTTGACACTCCCAGTGGTAGTGGAGTAGTGACTGGTTGTCTGGCTCCATGTTGGGGTCGTAGGACTGCTCCGCACTGAGCTGCAGATCCTGTGTCCTCGACCACACCCTGTAGGTGCCGCCTTCTATGATGGGCATCAGCCTGACAAGAATAAAGGGGTGAAATTACCATAAAAAAGATACACTGACAGCACAGATCAACACTGTAAAGCTGAAATTATGTTAGTTAAATGTGACATGTGACAATGAATGAATAAATTAGAAACAATATAAAAGTGGGCGTAAAAGATGTACTCCACAGAAAGAGAGTCTGAATTTCTCCACTGACCTGGCAGCCATGACACCCAAATGCAGACAGGCAGCTTTCCTTAGCGGCACTCCTTCATATGACAGAGAAAACACCAAAGTGTACTTCCCTGCAGCCAGAGTCATTTTGGGCAACGACAGCTGAAGTCGCCGCATGTCCACCTCTGCCGGCAGGCGAATTACAGGGACAAGCAATGACTGAGAGGGCTGAGTCACAACCCCAGAGGGAATACGGTTGTCTTTGTCATTATCACAAGAGGGTGTCGAGAGTATCTGCCAGAGGTACTGAGCTCCGTAGCGCAGGCAGCCTTTCAGGTCCACACTGGCCTCTACTAAAGTGGACTGGGAGCGCCAGATGGCCAGGCGGGGGGCTTGAACCACCTGCACTTCTGGCTCCTCACACTCTAATACGCTGATGTTTACCTCCACCTGCGCCAAGACCCAGCTCACCAGGTTACTGCAGTTCACCTGGCAGGGATAGAAAACAAGCTGGTGAAATCACAACACATGGAAGATCAAGCTTTCACATACAGCATCGGTCAAATTATTTTTATTTATTTTTTACAGATCAACAAATAAATAATGGATCTACAGAGTACGTGGAATGATGCAGTTCAAAGAAACATACTTGGACCAGGTAGTGTCCTGGATCTCTGTACTCATAACCCACAGTTGTGGTGTTGGTGTGAACTGGAGTAGAACCATCACCAAAGTCCCACAAGCACTCCACCGAATTTGATTTGGGTTTGACAGAGGCCATCAGGGTCACCGTTTTATTGATAAAAGTGTCCCGAGGCGCTGCATACAGGATGGCAGCCGTCAGCAGGTTCTGCACCCAGATGTGCTTGGTGATGTTCTGAGCATGCACTGCGTTCAAGGCCTTCAGGTAGATGGTCAATACACCTGCTTCCTCTGGCGTGTAGTACACCTGGGATTGTGATTCATTGAGACCATCAACATTTATTCAGCCTAACAGCTCTTTGTTATATCATGATATTTTCATTCATTGTCATTATTATAAAGGGTAAATACTATACTGAACTGATCTGACCTCTTTTCTGATCATATGTGATGCCTGGTGGCGGGGGTATAGATCAAAGGTCCACAGGAAACTAACAGGTTTTCCTGTCAGGATGTTGGCCACAAACAATCTCTTTACACCAACAGGGATCGCTGCGCTGATTCCCTGGATGGAAAGTCCACGTACCGGCTCCATCACCTCGACCTGGAGATGGCGCCTCTTGAAACTAACCTAACACATAAAAATATGTGCATTGTATTAGTTGGATTAAATCTCTATCAAAGTAAATGCCAAATAGAGTAATGTAGTGATAATTATATTATATGCTTAAAGGAAAGCAGGGAGGTCAAATATCTTGGCCACCATTTTACAAATAACTTAATGGATGACAACGAACAAATCAACAGTTACGCCTGCGGCAACACATATGTGCCTATATATTTTATACATGCTCTACTCCTTTTCCAGGACTCTCTGTAATGAGCAATATCCAGATAATTAAAGTTAATTTTAATGATGCCATAAGGTTGCCACTGTGTGCGCCAAGAATAGTGTACTTGGATTGTCAGAAAATATTCAGATGCACCCCTATGTCAGTGTTTTTTGCCTTATGTGCAGATTAATTGGTAAATACTTCCAAAAGCTGTACATGTTTTACTTCTGACATGGCTGTGATGGATTTAACGTTTGCATGTTATCTTAATAATATCCTAATAGTAAAAAACATCTATATTACATGCTCTTATAATGTGTGCTATCCATTTCCTTTGACTTTACCTGGTTGTGAGCGGTGAGATTCACCATGTACGTATTCACTCTGCTGAACGTGTGGACATAGGTTTGGTTGGGTTGAAGGTTAACAGTGGCATCTCCGCTGATGATGAGGATGAGACGAACGTCCGAGCCCACTGCCATGGAAACAGTAAACTCCACTTTCTCACCAACTACTGCCAAATCCTTACTTACCCTTAGCTCCAACCCCTGAATCTTGTCCTGAACAAAGAACTCTCTGGAAACCACTTGCCCACTGACATCATTGGTGGCATTCAGAGTAACAATGGCTGTTTTTGGCTCCTGGAAAATCAGAGAAGTTTTCCTTCCTGTTTCTGTTCTTCCTTCCAACAGCCATGTCCACGTCACATTGGTTCCTGTCAGTACCTCACCCTGGAGCCAGACGCTGACGCCTGTTGCAACATAACTCTGCACCGTCACATTGGTAGCTGTGAACCCTAACCCAGAAATTACTTCTTGGACACTGACAATCTCTGATACAAGTTCTGAGCTAACTTCATTAAAGACCTCCACAGTAACTATTTTTAGTCCATGACTGATGAAGGTGTGTGTCTTCAAGGGCTTGTTCCACTGCAGCTTGTAATCATCCACAGTCCAGCGGTACTGCAGGTTGGAGCCTCGACTGGTCAATACTGTCAGGTTAGTTGGGGCATTGACTGCAACTGGATTGTTGCTGATCTGCAGGTACACAACTCTGACTGGTTCCAGGAAGTATATGGTTCTGTTAACGGACAACTGACCCAGGAGGTTGGCGGCCTGTAGAAAGATGTCACATGGGCCTGGAGTGGAGAAATTCACCTCCACTGTCTTCCCGCTTACGTTGAAGCTTGAGCTGATGGGATCTAGCTCTCTAATGAGGTTCCAAGTAAATGTCATGTTGGTTCCTTCCTTCAACCCTGCTTGAAGGTGGAGAACACGGTTTGTAGCAAAGCAGCAACCATCCAATCCTGTGCCTCCGCCACCTCCTCCGATCTCCTCTGCCAAAATCTGCAGCCCTTCCAGCTCACGTTGGACAAACAGGAAGATACTTGCTTGTGCCGTTCCTACGTCATTCTCTGCTGTCACGATAATGTTGAAAGTGCCAACAGAGCGAAAGGTGTAGAACATGGTGTGGGTCCCTAAGATTGGGGTGCAGCGGTCACACAAGATCCAAGAGAACCGGACACCATCTCCCTCCTCCATTTGGGCCTCAAAGTGGACTGAGGCATTGAGAGGGACATTCACCAAACTAGCGTTGACGGTCAGTCCATAGATCGGTGCAAGCACAAAAACAGGTAAAGTAGTGTGATTGCTGCTAACTGTGTTGGCTGCTGTCACTGTAATATTGTAGTTTCCCGAGATGTTGTAGGTGTGGACGACATTCTGGCCTGTAAACTCATTCCCATCTCCCAAGTTCCAGGCGTAAGTGACATTGGAAGCCAAGGAAGATGTTGCAAAAGCGTATGGTGCTCTAAGGGTCAGGTTATTGTATTTAGTGCCATTATGTTGAATAATAATTGGTCCTATGGGCATCAGAACCTCAATCACAACACTGGTGTTACTGGTGGAGATGTTATTGAAGACAATGACTGTCACCACGTAATGACCTGGGTTTTTATACGTTGTCACAATATTCCCAGAACCACGGATGAGCACAGGGTCTTCCCCTTTACCAAAGTCCCACTGATAGCTGTAGTTGAATTCTGGCTCAGCTCTGGCTTGGAACAGGATCTCCTCCCCAACAGCGTAATGTGATTTCTCAAGGTTAAGGCTGATGTTGGTTAAGACTGGCTGCACACACACCCAGTTGAAGAAGTTGGCCTTGGTGGCCTTGTTTACCCCGCTGGAAAGAAGCAGTGAGAGGTGGTACTTCCCACTTGTCCAGTAGGTGTGTGAGATCCTGGGGTTACCTTGATGTGTCTCGTTTGGGCTTCCATCCCCGAAACTCCACTCATAAAGATGAGCCGATGCGTTACCGGACACCCAGGCTTGAAAGTTGACGGGGGTCCGCTCTTGGACACATCCAGATGGCTCCATCCTCACAACTTGAAAGACAAACACCTGCACTGGTAGGATTGTCCAGCCAGAGCTCACAGCATTCACAGCAGTCACATTTACTGTGTAGTTGCCATCTTTGCTATATCTGTGTGACACATGAGGTTCAGATTTTCTGTAGATCTCTCCATCGCCCATAGAGAATGTCCATGTGATGTTATTACCTGATGCAAGTCGTGCCCATACTGTAGTAGGGCTGTGAAGCTCTGTAGGAGAGGAGCTTTCAGCTGTTAAATCTTCAATCTCCTCATACACAAACATCTCGGCACAAACTTCCTTAGAGCTGATGGTGTTATTTACCGACACACAGACAATAAAGACGCCACTCTGTGGATAGGTGTGTGCTACGCGGCGACCTTGCAGCGGGGCAGAATCATCTCCAAAGTGCCAGTCATAGTGAATGCCATAGGGTGAGGGTAGAGGGTGAGCTTCAAAATCAGCTGATTTGCCAGTGAGGAGGAGTCGCGGCTCTGTTTGTATGTCAACATGTGTGAGGAAGCTGTAGACACTCATGTTGATGCTCTGACTGATGTTCTCATAACGATTGGACACGGACACCAGCGCTGTGTATATTCCTGTAGCAAAAGAGGGAAGAAAGGGAGAGAAAGAAAAAGAATGTGAAATTAGCCATATGTCATTACATACCCACCAAATTTAACATTTTAACCAATTCTCTGTTGATGGGGGGGTGGGGGACGGGGAGTTACCTGGCTGAGAGTAGATATAGGTGACATTGTTGCTTAGGAGAACCTGATTGGGTGACTCGGGGCAGAGGAGGGAGGGGGCGTAGGGAGGCTTGAATTCAAACTCCTTATATCCGCCATCACCAAAAGACCATCTGTAGCATAACAGAGGCAATGTCAAACCATTAAAAGAGGCCTTAAAGAGAAATACATGGAGCTTAGATGAACAGATGCACTGAACCGTTTCCATCCGCACACACAAACACACACTCACAGTCACTAGCTGGAAAGTGGGAATCTTCTCTGGCGAGGCAATAGAGGGTTTGGACGAGGATAAGTGGAAACTCAAAACTCAGGAAGCCTCTCCGGACCAAGATTGGTGAGAGTGGAGGGAAACAGTGAAAGAGTGAGCCACAGTTGAGAGAGTGGGAATGTGAAAGAGGGAGGGAGAGAAAAGAGAAAAAGAGAAAGAGGAAAAAAAAGTACAGGAGAAACAGCCGAGCAGAGGGGAAAATTCTTGTCAGCAATCTGTTCTAACCACACGGTTATAAATCCAAGGCTCTGCATGGTATGACTGCTGCAGTGCTATTATGGACAAAAACTGAGAAAAGAGCACAGAGAAAGACAGAGAGAGGAGAAGAAAAGGAGCAGTCAAACACAAACAGATGCACTGTGTTTCACAAACACATCTATCTATCTATCTATCTATCTATCTATCTATCTATCTATCTATCTATCTATCTATCTTCTATCTATCTATCTATCTATCTATCTATCTATCTATCTATCTATCTATCTTCCATCCATCCATCCCCATCCATCCATCCATCCATCCATCTATCTATCTATCTATCTATCTATCTATCCGTCTATCCATCTATCTATCTATCTATCTATCTATGTATCCATCCATCCATCCATCCATCCACCTATCTATTGTTCATACCGGAAGGTGGCGGCCACAGACATGTCGACAAGCACAGAGGTGGTAAGAGTCTGAGTGGAGCCCTGACCAACCACATCTGGCACGCCCTTCACTGTGAGGTTGGCCATAGGTTGCAGCTGGTCCACAGTCACGTTGAAATGCTCTGTGAGGGTGCTCACATGGTTCATGGCCGTCACCTGGAAGAGATCCCACGTGACCAGTAAGACGGCTGATAAGAAGCTGAAGTCTTATGTTGTATCTACAGTATGTTAGCTTTAGTTGTGACACAACACTATGACTACTACTATGCATTCATAATATCTCCAAACACATGATGTGACCTATAAAGGCCTCTAGTAGATTAATCAGCAATCATTTTTTAAAAGGCTGAATGATATAAAGTTACTGGTTCTGACTATACTTTCCAATATAAATATTTGCTGGTTTTCTTTATTCTCTATGATATAAGGTTGAATCTTTGGACTGCTGACTGTGAACACATCAAGTTTGAGCTCTGGGAAACTGTAAAGGGCATTTTCACAGTTTGACATTTAAAGACCAACAATTATTTAACAAAATAGTCAACAGATTACATAATCGAAAAATAATTGTGAGTTTTAACCCTAGTCTCCAGGAACAATTAAAATCATGTTCCAGGAAGAAAATCAAAATGTTTATATCTTTGGGGATTTGTGCCCACCAATTCTAACAAACTGCTAAAAGTCTAATACTGAAGTTGTTTAATCTGCAGACATTTTTCAGTGTTTGTGGATGCCCATTTAAAAAGCACACAAGCCTGTCACATATATGTTTACTTAAAACAATTAATAGTCTGTAACAACAGAAACTCACGGTGAGCTTGTAGATGGCAGAGTGCTGGTAGATGACATTGAGGACAGTGTTGTAATAGGTGAAATAGGGCTTGTCATCCACTGTCCATTTAAATGTGGGATTGGAGCCTTCAAGCACTGATGCTGTGTAACTCTAAAACACACAACATATATACAGACATATGAAAACATGATAAAACAAAAGTACAGTGCAGCATGATATCAGTATGAAAATATGAACTCCTAATACAACAACCAGTGAAGTAAACACAGAAACACACTCACCACTACTGACTCCATCAGCACCCGGTGTGCAGGGTGCGGCTGCACCATCAGTCCTCTGAGCGGCACTTCCAGCTGGATGACCACAGTCAGGCTGGCCTCCGTCACATTATTATGGGCCTCTAGCTCCACCTGCACTGGACTCCTCTGCTCCTCCATCCCCAGGCTCAGATCCAGCACCGCATATAGGCTGGGCTCTGTGACCTCGCCCCCGGAACCGGAGCTCGGCCCAGGCTGACAGAGCACTGGGCTGGAAGAAAACTCGGGGGGACAGTCGGGCTGGAAGGTCACACTGCAATTGCTACCACGACAAGAGGCCTTGGTGGCGTAGCGAGACTGGACGCGGAGCAGCAGCCGGGTGTCGTTGGGCTGCAGGTAGAGGGTGCCGTTCCGGACAGGGGGGTGGAGGATGGTCAAGCCCAGCGGAGGCACAACGCGCAACGGGCATGATGCTGAGCCTGGGTATGATGGCTCAGCTGAAGTTACCTGGAATTTATCAAATTAAACTTTGTCTCAATTATTTTGTTAATTCAGCAGAATTATTAGTATGGGACAAAAAAGTATAGACAAGCACATAATTTATGCAGCAAACACTTAATGGATGTTGATTTACTAACTTCTGTCAATGCTGAAAAAACTAAAATATTAGTACATTTCTGTACATTTTTCTCTCTATAGAGGCATTTAAAGGACCGGTGCGTAGTATGGTCAGCAGTGTAGCTGCAGATTGCAACTCCCTCCCTTCACTCTCCCCTTCCAAGAATAAAGTAGAAAACACAGTGGGTGCGAAGCACGCAAAAAATGTGAATGCCCGTATCTAGAGTCAGTTTTTGGTTTGTCTGGGCGACTGTAGAAACATGACGGTTCAACATGGCGGCCTTCACGGAATGCAACCTGTGGCGTCTGTACATATAAAACTCTCATTCTAAGGTAACAAAAACACACATAATCATACACTAATGCTAACATATTTATACATATTATTTTCAATTTCTGCCTAAAGATCCACCTAAATGTTAAACAGTGGAACTATGCTGAAATCTGTCAGATGCATGCTGGGATATGAAAGCTTTACCACCACACTGTAGAGTCCAGGCTGGGGTAGACCAGCAGACAGCTGTGCTCCCTGCAGCTGAGTCTCACTACGTCCCACATAGAGCACTCTGATGGGGCAAACTACTTCTTCCAGCCAGCCTCCTTCACCATCCACCACCAGCGCCTCCACATCAAGCTCCGGGTCAGGCAAAGGGTCAGTGTCGTCGTCGGCCGAGGCGTCTGTTGACTGTCTGGTGTTGTTGATCCAGAACCACTCTGATTGGTTAAGGGCTAAAACGGGTTGCCGCCACAGTGAGTGTGGTGTGGATTGGCAGCGGAGAAGGGAGGCGGGGCCAGCGTCGTGCTGCAGGGCGATTACATCACCACGGGAAACCAGGAGGTCCTCCAATTGTTCTTGTACCTGGGAGGAACGGGGACCATGGGAGTGTATGTTATAGGCAAATACAGATCAAAGTCGGACAGGCAGAAGTAAGTTGCACGTTACCAACTTTGCCTGCAAATAGCAAGTGTCTTATTTTTTTAATCCAACCTTCATCTGCCTCTTTTTTTGCAGTGAAACAGCAGGCCTTGTACAGCAGCTCTTAACTGTGCACATTAATTAAAAATTAAGCAGTCATCAGCTATTTGTTCAGGGCTTACTGTATTTCACATCCAAAGCTTACACACTAAAAACTCTCTCCTTGACTGAATAACTGAAGAAGTAAAAGTAAATCCTCTCACCAGTATGTGTGCAGCTGGTCCTGCTGGTAGAGTGAAGACCACCTCGTTCTGCAGAGTGTAACGTGGCCTCAGCGCCCCAGGGGGAAGGCGGTGAGCCTGAGTGCAGTTAGGACAGGAAGAGGGCTGACAGGGACTAGAGAGGGGCAGGCACTGGCGCTGGAAGGGACACCACTGCTCTAGTTTGGGGCAAGAGGGTGGATCACTGCTCCTGGTGTCATTGGGGACACAAACAGCCACCGGAGCACACACTGGACCTCCACAACCTGAGACACAAGATTCATCTAATTGTCAGCATTTATTTTTAGCTGAAGTTTGAACATATTTCAAAAGAATTCTTTCTCTCTTATCCCCTTTAACTGCCCCACCAAACCAACCTTAACCACACCAATTTAAATAGTGTTCAAAGTGTAAAGTGGAAATCAGGAATCTCCAGCTTCAAGCACAAGATGTATTTTAATGCACATTAATAAAAAATTAACGAAGTGGAATAGATGTCATCTAAAAAGTAAAAAAAGTATTGACAGCTTCCGTAAAAATAAAAGGACCAGTGTTTTTGCTTTAGTGGCATCTGGTGGCAGTGAAGATGCAGATTGCAATAAATTAAATACTGCTTGCCTTCCAAGCACGTGAAACTATGATGGCCACGAACCTTACGAAAACCGCAAAAGGCCCTAAATAGAGTGAATGTTTGGTTTGTCGGTTCTGGCTCACTATAGAAACATTGTGGTTCAACATTACAACCTCCACGGAAAGTGACCTACAGCATCTGTAGATATAACATTCTCATTCTAAGGTAACAAAAACACACATAAAAATACACTAAAGCAGACATAATTATACATATTATTTTCCATGTCTGTCAATAGATCCTCCTAAATGTAAGACACTACACTTAAGAGTAGCAGCAATATGACCCTGTGTTATATTGGATTATTGATGCCTCAGTGTGTAGCAGCATTTTAATGTTGTATCTGGTGGAAGTTAAGGTAATTTCTTCTCTTATATAATATTGGGTAGTTTAACCTATAACAACACATCATACAAGCTGATTATATTTTTTGTAGTTACTATAGCTATCAAATAAATGTACCTCAAAATAGTACTATACTATCTATGCCTATATTATCATTAATTATTTTTTCTGTTTAATATCAAAGGCTAAAAAGAGGCCAAAATAAATTGAGCATTTGTATTTAAATAACACAGAGATAGTTTAAGGAGAAAGTACAAAAAGACAACAAAAACAAATCAGTATCTAAAGCCGAGTTGTCATTGTGGAGACTTAACATCTAACAAGCATAATGGAATAAAAACTGCAGATAAAAGGAATGAATTACTTGATCAAAGTGACAAGGTCAAACAAGTATCTCAAGTGTGCACTTGTGGAATCTGAATGTAATAGATTTGAGTGTGTGTGTTATTTGTAGTAGGAACATAATTAGTGTGCTGGGCTGACATCCATCTCTGAGTAGGGCAGAACAAGCTTTCGTTCTGTGTAATTAATAATCCAGCTGCAATATCTCAGTATCTCCGCTCTCTCCTCCCCTGGTGCTGTGTTCACAAACTCTAAATGAAAGTTTCACAGAAAACGTGCTGTCATGTCTTAAACAAGCCGCTCGCCTCTCTCTGGATTTCTTTTTCTCACATCTTTAACGTGCGTCCGTTCTCTGCTCCTCTGTCTATTGCACAGCTTTGCTGCTAGGTCCCAGTGGACGAGTACAAAAAAACACAGAAAGCATTTCAATTTCTTGTGCCTTGTGCCATGCAGTGTTGCAGTTACGTGTCGTGTCTGGACGAGGACAAGCAGTGCTCAGAAGGGAGGTGACCTTGATTGGTATTGTTTCCTTCCTCTCTTGTTCAGTCTCCATTCAAACTTTCGTGTTCACCCACCTAACAACTTTAGACAAGGCTGGTTGGTCAGTATGTGTGTATGTGTGGATGTTTTTGTCCAACTGGATGTGTGGACGCAGGTGGCTCATAGATTTTTTAACACCTGCCGATGTTCACCAGGAATGTGCAGATGGTTTAGAGTGTGTTAGTGTGTGTTTCTGTGTTTAACTCACTGGGCAGTAGCAGGTGCAGGCCGGGATAATGACAGTGAGGTCTGTAGATCTGGAATCTGACATGGATTTGTGAGCTGAGCTCCTGAGTGACAAACTCTAAGGAGGACAGACGGCCTGGCTGAACAAAGCTCAGAGCTGGGAACAACAGCACCTGAGCGAAAAACATAAAGAAGAATCAATTGAGAAGACAGATACAGTTTGATGAAAAAAGGTTTGAGGAGAACTGTAAGATGATTTAATAAACAAGCTGAGATTTCCACCTCACCTCTATACCACTGCCGGGAGGCTGGGGAGTAGAGAGCTGAGCAGCTGGGGCATGGTGCAAATGATTATGGGAAGGAAACAGAGCAAGGCCGACCATGTAGATCCCTGCATCTGGAACACGCACTGTAGAGGCATAAACAGAATGAAGTCAAGGTGACAAAAGAGGAGGGAGGATTGAGGGGTTTAAAAAGAGGACAGAGGTAGTGGAGGCAATTTATAAGAAATTATGGAGCAACTGCAGTCCACATAGTTACAAATTGCTTTGAGAAAGAGAGAGAGAGGAAGAGGTGCGAGCGAGAACAGATCAAACAGAAGTACTGTTAAAGAGTCTAACGGAAGAACACTTCAGTACACGATGTATCTGCTGACTGCAGACTGACACAAACACAGCGACGGACTGGACAAAATAACACAATTAGAAAGGCAGGCAGACAAAAACACACACATTTGTGCACATTATAATTAAATGTTGTGGTTATCTTTCTCCAGCAACTGTTATTTGAAGGAGATTTAACCTATTTCTCTACTTGTTACCAACTCACCCACATTATGCTGGCCATTTATCACTTAGACATGAGTTTTAAACATTCAAAATAGCAGTAATGTTGCTGCAGCAATCGAATGTGCTCCACTTTTAGTCTTCAACAATAGATATCCAGTTACAACATATAAAGAGAATAAATTAGTCTTCTTATTTATTACTGCTTAACAAATGCTGTATATACAGACAGAGAAGATGAAAAAATGGGAATAGTTACAATTTTGTATGTGGCCTTTGGGTAACAAACTATTACATGTATCATGTTGAATTGTTTCCATTCTTTTGTGTCCACCTGACCCTATTCCTTAAAGGACAAATGTGCAGGATTTAGTGGCATCTAGCAGTGAAGTTGCAGATTGAAACCAGCCAACTGAATACAGCTCAGCCTTCCAAGCCTGAAGCACTACGGTGGCCAAGATACAAAAAACCAGGCTCTATGTAGAGTCAGTGTTTGGTTTGTCCATTCTGGGCTACTGTAGAAACATGGTGGATCAATATGGAGGACCCGCTCCCACTGTAGATAAAAACAGCTCATTCATAGCAAAAACACAACAAATAAACCAATGAAAACATTTTTAAAAAGTATATTTCTGTCACTAGATCCTCCTAAATGTTATACACTGGACCTTTAAAAGGAACAAATGCTTATCAGCAATACTATATTAAGATGATGCTATATTGAAAGAGTCTTAATATTCTGATGCAACCAAATGCTGGAAATAGATGCTTCTTAAACACGGAGCAATTTGTATTAATGCTCCAATTATAAATGGTGCTTCATGGAGCCAATCTAGTGCTTCTGATTACTTATGAAGGAGGTTGTTTGCTTTTCCTTTCTACGCATGTTTGTGCCACAACTTAATTTACATAAATTGATAGTTAAGAAGGCTGAAATTCTCTGCTCTTTGCCCAAACAACTAAGGCATGGATGGATTTGGTAAATTGCCTTTGCATTGGATCTATGCCTCAGTTTTCATTTTCTTTCTCTGATTATGGGTTTCTAGGCATTTGAACTGGCTAGATACGGTTATATCAATATTTTTGTGTGCATGTGTCTGTGTGGTACAGGGAGCGTACCTTGGTGGCTGTACTGGCAGACATAGGCCCGCTTGGCAGTGCATAGGTGTGAACTGGTATGACCGCGCTGATCGAGGGACACGCACACATTTCCACGGAATGGCGGCAGGCCCTCCACTCCCTCCTGTGCCTCTGAGTCGTTCACCCAGCGCAGCTTGCCCGGAGAGTTGACATTACTCAATCCCAGCCACACACCTCGCTCCCTGGGGCACAGACAGACACATAAGACACAGTTTAACACAGCGCCTGCTTGACATTTAGTTACAGTTACAGTTAAGACAGCTGGAAAATTGGTTAACATTACGAAATCTGCGACTAGAAAAATTTAAAGAATATGCATGAAGTTCAAGGATAAATCATGAAAAGACAGAAAAATGTATTTTTCACACGTCCTTGTGAATGTGATAGTACAGTCAGACCGAACAAACCTTCTTACAAAACATCCAGACTTGAATCAATGTGACATTGAAGTCTGTGTAAAATATGTGCCAGATTGCCTTCAACAATCAATGATTTCAGGGCAGAGAGAGCATGAAAATGGGCTTTGATTGAACCCCATCAGGATGTACAGAGGGGATATCAGATATTTCCTACATCCCCTGTGATTAGATCCCTGAAGATAAATTGGATTTTCACTCCATGAGTCCTAATGGACTGCATATTTCCCCACAGCTTCAATTTTTCTTCCTGTCATACGGTGTTAAATGAAAAAAAAATATAATAATAAAAAAATACGGTAAGTTCATGATTCACTATGATCTGGTCAGACTTACATCTGTGAAAACGGAAGCTAAAAAGAGTGGATGGGTTAAAAAATACAAGCAAAGAGGGAACAAGAAAAAGATTCTTTGTGGCAAAAAACAAGGACTGATAAAAAAGAAAAAGGCTCCTTATATAAGCGAGTGGGTGGGGGTGGCGGGGGAGGAGAGAGGGGATAAGCTTCATCTGCAGCAGATTTTTTCTTCCGTCTACGAGGGCTGGGCCTCTACCCTTACATTAACACACATACACAAACACATGCACGCACACGCACACGCACACCGTGAACTGTGGACTCCTCCTCCCAGGGTGTTAAAGTTACAATACAGCTGTGCTTTTACAGATGTGTTTTTTGCGACCCTCTCCGACCTAAACACCAAACACTGGAGGCCTTCAGATCGGCACAAAGCCAGAAACCTTTTTATCGTAGCAAAGCCAATTCCACTTGATGCCCATATACGGTGCATCACAGGGACAATACCATCATTACTAGCAAACACCTTTTTGTGGAAAGAGACAGTATGCAGTTACTGTGGCTAAACCTGACGTCAAGATCTGTTCACACCTGAATACTATGTGGGGAACAAAAGCATGCGATTTTAATATGCGCATGACGCACTGGTCTCGTCATGCGGCAGTATCATGTGTAGGCAACACCATGAAATGTTCATGTGAATCAGATGATGATTACTAGACAGTTTTCCAATCCGAATTTTGTGCCGTGTTTCATGAGATTCGGAGCATGTTGCGGGCCGCAAAAGAATTGTTTTATTGCGAGAAATCATAATAATGCAAAAAGTTTCAGCCATCGCTGCTCTGGCCTTAATAAACCACAGAATACCAGACAAAAAAAATCAATGTGGTATGCTTCAAGGCATGACATTCATAAAAAGTAAATAATAAAATGAAAAGTGCTGTCCTTGAAAATAGCCTCATGTCTGAAAAACATGTGCACACACATACAAACACAAAGTTACGTTCAGTCAAAAAAGCCCCAAAGTTCACACAGACAGGAGAGAGAGAGGCAAGAAAAACAGACTTTTCATACCCACATCCAAACCATGTACTTTGTGATTGTCAGTGATTGAAAGTTCAACATCTGTTTTGAGTATTTGATGTCTGTCACAATGTTTCTTTGGCTGTCGCTGCTGCAAACAGCGAAGGCAACATGGTGAGAACTATTAAGTCTGTCATGCAAACAGGGATGACTAACTGTGCCACGGAGCTGGCAGGTTATCCGTGTCTCTTCTGCTGATATAAATATAGTTTTTATAGTTTATAGTTTAGAAAATTGAAAAAGAATATACATGCAGTACTATTGCAAGAAAATCAAAGAAACACTGAGGCCCCATTTCTGCTCCCCGTACGGAGAGAAACACTCACTGTGTGATTTTGTGTGCCAGCAGGTTACGCAGTGCATCTCTCTTGACTATAGCCAGATCCCCGCCGCGGTCTAAACACTGTTGTCGAGCATCTGTCCAGCTCAACTCCCCTGGAACAATCTGGAAACAGCGCGAGGACTCAGCGTGGTGCACCCCATCGTTTGGACAGTGAGGGGAAACTGACAGGGGACAGAAACATTCACGTGATTTCCCAGATCGTTTGAAATCACACTTCATGGAAAGCTGCAGTCATTAAATTATTGCTAAAAATCTGATGTTCAAACGACTGATGATTAACATTTTTTTTTTTTAAGTTTTCAAAAGTCAGAATACGCTTCTGTTCTACAGGGTTTTCTATTGTTGATACGTATTACAAAAGCCTCAAGGTACAGAATTATATACAGTATACTACGTTATATACATGTATACTGTACAATGCATCCTGACAACAGAGAGACAATAATTCAAAGATCAGTACAAATCAAGGTGTTCACAAAGCCAGTGCAATACAGAGTTATTAAAGTATTGTGAATACATTGAATATTTATTGTGGAACTTGCCTTTTTCCTAGGAGTTTGTCTGTCTGCACCTCCATTCGCATTAAAATTTCAACATAAAAAAGATTGATCAATATGGGTGGGTAACATTAGACGTTAGTGTGAGCCACAAAAAGTGTTTAGCGTATTGCTTTAGTGTTCAGTTTTTAAAAAAAAAACCTTGAACAGTGGTGTGGGTGTGAACTTCTGAACAGCTGGGACAAACAGAAACCCGAAAAGGAGACACAAAAGATGCTGATACAAAGAGGATAAAAAACCCTAAAGACTATTAGCCATGTGTGATCTACAAGGGCACAAACACACACACACACACACACACACACACACACACACACACACACACACACACACACACACACACACACACACACACACACACACACACACACACACACACACACACACACACACACACACACACACACACACAATCCAGAGACAGCCAGGAAGAACTCACAGTGACATTTAATGTCTTTCATATTCCCAATTTGTCCTCCAATGAATCACATTAGTTTCTCAGACTCTCGCCTTGTACAGTCTCTCAATTTCTTCTAAAGCTATCAGATCCACAATATCTCAAAGAAACAGCCTGGAGCACAGATCAAGTAATAGTAAAATACTAAATTATAAATGTCAACAAACAGAAGAATTTTTAATGCACTGTCGTGGGAGGTGAAACAGGGCAAGGAGGAGGGTAGATAGGTTAAGTGTGTGCACACTCTTATGCCGTATTATGAGAGGGATTGTGTGTGTCTGTGTATGTGTGAGAAAGGGCGATACGGACACAGTTAATGTGTAACTGCTTTCACACACTGAGACTTGACTGATGGGTCATTCTACTGTGACCAACTGTGAGAACTTCAAGAAGCTGAGATTATAGAGTGTTCAAAGGAAGCTGCAAATGTATAACTTGAAAGGGATACAATCAATATTTTTAAAACAACAAAAGATAATTTAGGATGCATCAATAACAGAGTTTGTGCACGCAACCAACTGTAGAATAAAACACAGCCACTTTAGCTCTCAAGGGAAACCTGCTTTTCTTCTAGCTGGGAACCAACTTTCCGGGTTCTGAACCAATTTACTTTTGGTTGAAATGCTCCGACGGTTCAGAACTACGTGCGTGAACTGGAATGGAGCTAGTTCCATGTTGGTGGGAAAAGGCTGTGTTGCTTTCGGCAGTAGCAGGCAGCTGTGTTTTTTTATTTAAACAGCTGTAAGAACCTGTACGCTACCTGCCCAGCTCCAAACATAGGGTGAACATAGAGTAGTGGAGCATATAGCGGCTAAAGAGACTGATATTTCCTTCAGGAGTTGGTGGAGACCAAAAACAGAGCTAAAAGAGAGTGAATATTGGAATTACATTCATCCTTTGGACACACAAATGACTCCAAAAGAATGATGTTACTCCATACCTGCATGGTGTGTAAATAAGCAACTGTTTGCCTTTAAGTTCGATCAGCTTGAAATGTGATGATATGTGTGATATGCTGTGTTCGCAACACTGACATATCGCAGCTAACCAAGTGCTAATTAAGAAGCATTACTTGAGATTTCACAGAAAAAACAATTAACTCACAATTTTCCATCAACCCTAAAGATGGATGTGACTCTCGGGCATTGTTCATGAGACATTTATCCTGTTAGTTCTCCAGATAAAACCCACAGAGAGCCACAGAGCTACTGTTCAGATTTACAGCAGCAGGAGAGACAAAACTAATTGGCTGTTGATCACCATGAGCAGTTCAGAGTCAAAGACCATTCCCGTGCTGATAAGTTTATTGACCATCGATCAGCTTAGTGTCATTAGTTGCTCAGAGCTTGTGTGTTGGTGTGTGTTACCTTTGGCAACTTGGACACCATCCTTTGTGATCTTCCAGTCCACGTCCATGCCAAACGCACCCCAGCTGACAAGTGTGAACTCTAGGCTCTTATTGGCCACAGCAAGAGGAGGACAGCGCAGCTCCAGTTTGGGAGGAAGTGTCACGGTCACTTCTCCACTTGCAGAGACCTGAACACACATGCAAAATATTAAAATCACATCTCATTATGAAAAAGTTTTTTTTTGTTGTGTTTTTCTTTTATTGTACTGTTGAAAAAGATTTTCTTACTTTTTTCTCTCTCACCTCCTTGTGTCCAGCCCAGGCCATCAAATTGACCACATAACGTCCCGGAAGTCCATATTTGTGAGTTGCTGTGAGCCCTGTTCCTGTAGTGTTGACTCGAGATGAAAAGTCACCAAAGTCCCAGGACAGCGTCACCGGAGTGACAGAGGAGGCGGCGGAGAAACTGATGTGGTCGTGAACACTTTGCAGCGGGATGGGCTTCAGAGAGACCGAGAAGTCAACCACAAACACATCTCGAGCCAGAGGCCACCCACATTCCTGTGAAAAGAGGGAAACCATGTGATGTATTTTATGTACAAGTATTTAAAGGTAAATTAAACTTTCCACTCTGTTAATTGTAAAGATGTCTGCGGTTTTACTATTATTTTGACAGATTAATAAAAACTTGGCTATAATGAAACTGAAAATGAATTGCTTTGATTTAAAATAAACAAATCTTGATTTTCAATTGTTTAGTAGCTCTATATAGCAGCCCTGCAGGAAACAGAATCTGAGGATAGGGAAGTCATTCAAGCCACAGAGGGAAGTTGTTGGTAGGTTATAGGAAGGCGCAGAGGAAATCCTGAAGGCTGTTATTACAAGAGAGGAAAGAAAGAAAGAAAAGGACACTACACTAAAGGAGGTCTCCATTAGAAGCCACTCTTTGCACAATGCAAATACTTGACATCTGAATTGCACATTACAGTGCAATAATTACTACCTGGGCCCACTGTGTGCTGCATACCTTCATAACTTCGGGGTCTGTACAGGCAGCAGAACACTGAGATTTGCTAATTAAGTTTGGCTCTGAGTTTGTGCTGCAGAGACACTCGTGCGTCGTCCCCAAGCCCCCATAGCGATGTGATGCAGCGAAACACACGCTATTACACTGTTCACGTGTGTAGTTTCCAGGTTTGAAGGATGAGAAAATAACAAGCTCACTGCGTCCCCCTCCTCCACTGCTGCTGTCCTCAAGACAAGCTGCATAGTTCGGACCTGTAGAAGAAGGAAAGGTTTTTTTAACTCAGACATTGCAGTGCAAATATGTAGTGTCTCAGATCTCATTTATAATTTTAATCAGCATCAGAACTTCACTGTCCAAACCAGCAGAAGAGATAAAAAGAGGTAGGCAGAGACAGTTTATTCCTCTAATGCCAGAATTTGTCCTTACAAGGATCACGTAATAAGTAACATACATTTTATGTGGATTTACTTTTTACTGTTTTTGGTAGCCTTTCTAATCATCAAGTGCTTGGTTGATGTCTGTCTTTCCCTGTGTTGAGCTTGCCAGAGTAAATCATTTAGGTCAAGGAAGTCCTTCAACTACTTCTATTTGGTACACATGAATCTGAAATGGTAGGATGGGTCCTTTGCCAAACGAACAGGGAAATTAGATTTATATGATTTTAAAACATGTTTTGAGATATGTAATTTGTGTGCATTTGTTTCATACCACAGGTGAGCAAGCTGACATTGATTAGGGGTTGGTGTCGCAGCTTAGGAGGTTGGTTGCAGAGCATGGCATCTGGGGGTCGAACTCGTACCCCCTTCTGCTGGAGCCAGCTGACCAGTTGGAACAGCTTACAGTCACACTCAAAGGGGTTACTGGTCAAGTCACTGGAGGAGAGGAGGACAGGGAAGAAATGATTGGATCCATAAAGGTGAAACATGACAACCCTTACAGAGATCGGACATTAAAGCTGAAATCCGTTACTGTCAGCGCCATGTTGGTAAATAGTACTTGAAATCATGTTTGAACAAACTAGAACAAAAATGGCAGAACAATTATTATGTAAATGTTGCAATATGAAAGTAACTTTACGTGGACTTAACGTTGGACAGCACTGAATCAGAAAGAGAAAAAAAATCATATTTAAACGAAAAAATTACACATTTGCATGGAACTAATATTCCAACATTTTTGTAAACACACATGTTGAAATGTTTACCAAGTTAATACAATTACATTAGAAAAATAGTATCATATAGCCAATGGTTAGCATTACAGCTAGCTCTTGCCAAAAGTTGGAAAAAGTTACACCCTCCAACATATAATGATCCTTTTACATGTTGTATCTTCTTAGCTGGCACAGTAGCCACCAATCTTGTTAAGAGTCAGAAAAGTATAAAAGGCCTGTAAATTACCACAACAACGGACTTCTGGAGACTCTCTCTGTGCCCAGTGTCTTTGGTTAGTAGTGTGGTTAAATGTTTGGCGTAGTTGGTAACTTTTTCCCCTGACCCACAAACGTTTTACATGGCAGACATTTTGGCTTTTCATAGCAGAAATAGCACAGGTGTTACTGATAACATTAATGATGGCTCTGCTCCATTAAAGAGTCCCTGTAAGCCTTGACAATGAGCCAGCATACACAATACCAGGACCCTGAAGCTGACACAAGTAAATGGAAAATAACCATGACTAATGTTATCAGTTACCCCCATGCTTTTACTTCTGTGAAACATTAAAATGTCGGCCTTAAAAGGCGCATTCCTTTAAACAATGTGAGAGGAAAGGAAGAGCCAGAGCAAGGAGGCAAACAGGGTATGAAGGGGAATTATGGGAAATGAAGAAGCAATGGTGATGGGAATGAACAGATGGCAAGGAGTGGCACAAGAGGAGAAAAGGTTGGGTATATGGAGGAAAATGATGAAAGGAGGAAGACAAGACAGAAAGCACAAAAAGATTATGTGACATGTGTCTCTGTGTCAGTTTAGCTTTGCTCAACTGGAGACTCTACACAAGAGGATAACCTTTCTCATCTAAAGACCTGGTGAGGAATAATTACAACTCACTACCTCCCACTCCAGTCTGAAATAGAGCTTCATTCATCTTGTGTGTAGGCGAGGTAACTGGAAACATGCTGCTTATTTAAGCACGTGTTATCAGATGTAGGTGTGTACATGTGCATAATAGTTTATAAGTGTGTGTATAAATTGGGTCTGATTATATTTTATGTTTTGAATTGTTGCAAAAAACAAGAGACAAACAGATGCAGAGAGAATAACAATGAATTGTGATTACTTACATTTGAGTTAAATTGCATAGGTTGTCGCATGTTCTTTCTTCAATGGTGGTGATTTTGTTGTTGCTCAAATCGCTGATGGAAACAAAACACACAAATCAATTGTTGACATTAAAACAAGAGCAAGTCTATTTCCTTCACTTCTGTGACTGCGCTGATGTCTGGCAATTACTACCATACTGTCATTTTAACAAGATTAATGTGCTGTAGCTTTGTCAATGACTGAAAAACTCGATGCCAATAATTGAGTCATTGAATGAATGAATATGAGAAACTGCCTCTCCTACGTTATTATCCAATTGTAACTGAGGCAGACACGCAAAACGACTTTCAGATTAGTGTCAAATCAAAGAAAACGACTTTCTCGAATCCTCTTTTCACAGAAAAAGGTTCATAAAACACATAACTGAATTATAAACAAATCAACAACTTAGGTGCTCAGTAACAGATAGCATTCAGACACTTTTAATGTTTCTCCGTCCTTGTTTCCTCCCCCATTTCCACCCATCTTCTTTCATTTCCTTGCTTCTCTCTTTCTTTTTCTTTACTCCTCTCTCCCTCTTCCCCCTTTTCCTTCTCCGCTCATAATCTCCTTCTCCCTCCCTCTCTCCTCTCTATCCAGTAGGCTACATAATGGGGCCGTTGTGTGGTGGTTTTGGAAGGAACTGATGGAAACCACCAGAGTCCTCTCTCATCACACACACACACACACACACACACACATACACAAACATGTGCTTAAACGCCCATTCAATGGGTGGAAGAAATAAGGTAATGGGTGGAGGAAGGGAGAGATGGACAGATGGAGAGAGGGATAGAGGGAGGTAGTGGGAGCCTGGAGCAGTAAGCTGTAATTGAAGTTAATCACGCTGTGATTGGTGTGTGTGTGTGTGTGTGTGTGTGTGTGTGTGTGTGTGTGTGTGTGTGTGTGTGTGTGTGTGTGTGTGTGTGTGTGTGTGTGGATACTCTCTGGTCCAGTTAGCTTACTCCAGGGATTTCTGCCTACTTAAATCCAGACTAAACCCAGCCTTGCTTTTTCTCCCGCTTTCTTTTCACCTTCCTCATTCTCCCTTACCCCTTTCCACTCGACCTTGGTCTTCATCTCTAGACTTTGTACTTACAGGATTGACAGTGGCCCACAGCAGAATACTCCTCCGGGGAGAACATTGATCCTGTTCCCTTGAAGATACCTGAAATATGGGTATATTTATATATATATAGATATAAGTTGAGTTAGATAGATCGACAAAGAAGCATTTAGATAGATTGTGTGCACTTGTGTGATTGTGTGAAATTATATGAACACGCAAAGACATAATGCTGGGTGTACTCACAGCTCTCGGAGGCCAGTGAGTCGATCTAGCAGGCTGGTATCAAGGGAGGAGATGTGGTTCTTGGAAAGATCTCTGCGGGAACAAACCCAAAATGTCCACATTTAAAAGGAAGGCAAGATGATTGCATATGCACACATAAACACACTCACACAGCATCATGAGAATTTATTTACCAGATAATGTGACTGTGTAAGTTCTGGGAAATGAAATGTAATGATAGCTAAGGCGAGGGAAAGTGAAACATTTAGCTCATATGAACAGAGTGGCGATGAATACAACCAGACTAGATCATAATACTAAAAACAGTACAAGGTTTTTTAACTATCAACTTTTTGGGAATGACAAAGACTTCTGTTCATTCAGTCAGTGTTTTCACCAGCCCAAAGGGTCAATGAACTT